AGTGCTCAACCCTCGTGGGTTGACAAGACACCAAAAACATTCAGTTGCACTGATAAAACATTAAATTATAAAATGATAGATTATAGATAAATTATAGATTATTATAAGGCTACGTCTCAAACTAAATATTTTGTCTTCTCTCCCTCAAAAGTTCGCTTCTTCCTTCTTGAAGCACAATTCAAGTTTTTCATGATCATCAAGCCAAAAAGAGTGGCATTAAACCTTCCGGTCTGTAGGGCTAATGGGAACGTTCCTGAACGCAACTGTGTCTCTAATTTAAGTTACAGCCTACTTTACATATAGTGGAGACAATAAGTTCGTATGTTTGGATTCTACCATATATCAACAGACCATTTTTCTCTACATGAGAAACATTTTACTCCTAATCTCCTGAATATCACAAAGCAAACTGTTCTGGAAAGTGAATGACAAAATGTTTAAATAAAATACATATTTCAGCTCATATAAATTATATTGGAATAGGTTACTACGATGATATTTCATATATATATAGGATTATAGGAATAGTGCTGCGGGTTTTAAAGCAAAATAGAATATTTAATTTTTAAATTAAATTATCTTTGAATATAAATGAGCTGACTGATAATGATTTTCGGCTGTTTTATCTATTAAGTTGAGTTAGTTTACAGTGATTACAGATTTCATGTTTTTGACCGTCATCACCTCCCTTTCACTCTGCACGCGACGGTAAATGTATTTAAAATGCTTTTTAAACTGTTGGAATTGCATCATTAGTTCATATGTGGATCGATAATAATCAATAATGATTACAGCAGTGATTAAAGCGGAAGTCCCAACACAGAGAGAAAATGAAAGTGAGCTCTGACGCTCGTTCATATGAAGTGATCAGTGACATTTCACGTTGTTTTCACTAGAACATGGCGGCTTCAACGTGAGAACCAGACAGCCTGTGGAGAAGGGGATTCTCCTTCACCTTTTATTTTACACATCAGAGCACATATTCAGCCTGATACAGATACATATATCACATTGTATTATATTAGGACTGTAAGCCTGCAGAGTGTGGACAAATGTGTGTCAATAGATTACATATTGATAAGTATAGATAACACAAGATAACATAACATAACATAACATAACATAAGCCTTTATTGTGAAATTCAGTTGTTGCAGCAGCACAATGACATAAATAATCACAGATAAATACAAAAAGAAAAATGTCCCCAAAATACATTTTTATTATTATCTCTATTTATGGGGGATTATTTCTGTGCTCGTGCTTCTGCAACAGCTGGATTTCACAATAAAACGCTCCTGTTATCTTCAGACCTACGTAGGCTATCCACAGTCTGCTGCAGGGACTTTCATTCTCTCTGTGCTGGAACTTCCGCTTTATGGCACCTTCTGGACACAGCGCAATCACTCCCTTATCCTTTATTGATTATTATGAATCCACTACCACAAATGATGCAATATGCGGCATCAAAAACAAACGGAATTATCAGAAAGATGCAAAATACGAAACACTGTAAACAAACAAAATTGGATAAATAAATGTTAAAATAGCCTATAATCATTATCAGTCAGGTGATTTCAATTCAATCACAACTAGAGTGTCTACTTTTCTGTTTGCCTTTAAAATCGCAATAATATTCCTATAATAACCATCGTTTCCACTATCGAATAAAAGTAAAATATTTGTGTTTGTCTGTTTGTGTTTAGAGGTTTTCTATAAAAATGCATTTTCTATGGTTTTACAAAATAGGATAATTTTTTAACATGTTTATCTGGCTTTATATTTGACCTTTGTTTTGATATTTATTCATGCTTTTATTGTGGGAGAATTTCTTTCACAGGTCAAATCGAAATGTGACAGCTTAAACCTCGTTTACGTTGTGTTTACCACAGGTGGAAACAGAAACAGGTGCGTCCTACAGTATAAAGGAGGCACTGCAGGTCTGCTCCAACACAACACCAGCACTCATCTGAATTTACTCTATACAAAGACAATCTCTACCTTTTTGAAAATGCTCAACAGGATTTTCTTTGTGTGCCTGTCTCTCAGTCTGTACAGTGCAGGCTCCTCGCTGAGCTGCAGATGGATCATGGATCATAAATTCAGACAGCACAGTGAAAACTCTTTGGCTCTACTGGATACGATGGTAAGTGGACTTCTTATTGTTTAAAGTCAGTGAATTATCTGAACTGAATGAGTTTACTTTACTGTCTGTTTACTTCAACACATGATGTGTGTGTGTTTGTGTGTGTGATGCAGGCTAATAACTCCACTAACACCACTGAGGATGCTGAAGTGGAGGACACTGTGGCCTTCCCTAATCTTCTGTACAGACAGGCGTCCAAAGCATCAGTAAGTCATCCTCAACTTCTGTCTAAGTGAAATACAAAATATAACACGTGATTATTGATTTGTGTGGGTTGTTATATCTGTTATATATTCTTCTACTTCTTCTTCTTCCAGGCTGAGGATCAACTTGCCTTCACAGTTCAGATTCTTAATGAGACAGCTGCCCTGTTTGAGGAGGATCACAGCTCTGCATCATGGGAGGAGAACACAGTGGAAGACTTTGTCAATGTTGTAACCCAGCAGGCTGACAACCTTCGCTCCTGTGTGAGTAGAAACTTTTAGTGACACCACTGAACTGATTTCAGCTTCTATTATATTCATATACATTTCCAAGGAATTACTGATGAATGTGCCAGTTAAACAGCTCCACAGTGACTGTGTAAGGAAGATTTCTTTGAACACATTACAGGTGAAATAAACTGTGTTTTCTAAATATTCATTTTCTTTTAATTCATTTAGATTGGGAGCCACGGCCACAAGAAGAAGAACACAAAGCTGCACATGCACTTCAAGAGACTCTCACACCATGTCCTAAAGAAAATGGTCAGTCTATTTTATTCCTATATCATTTTGGTCTTATAGATATGAGATATTGTATTTTTGATGTTCTAATAATGCTAATATTCTTCTGTCTGTAGGGTCACAGTGCTGAAGCCTGGGAACTGATCAGGAAAGAAATCAAAACCCATCTGATGAGAGCAGACCAGCTGGTTTCATCTCTACTCACCACCAACTAAAAGCTGTTACCTGTCTGTCAGATTCATTTATTTTATTACATGAAGTTTATTTAGTTATTTATTTATTTATTCATTAATATATTTATGGAATTGAGTTGTTTGTATTTTAATTACATTTTTACACAGTCAGTATCTTTTTAAATTAATGTTAATATTGAAGTTTATTTATTTATTTATTCATTAAATTACCTATTTAACTATTTCTTGAGTTATGTGTCTAAGAACTGTCTTAAATTTACATTTATTGAGCAAAATGTATATTTTATTTATGTTATAACAATAAAAAAATCTTTCACCAAAGAGAAATGTGTTTGTTTTTAAAGGGTTGCAGATTTTTGTTTCTTTTTACAAACAACATACAGAAACATGTGAGGCCTCGTTCAGATTTCTATCATAATATGATGTCTGATGATCACGTACAGTATACCTACTGATATAAGATAGTACTGACATTAAATTGTCACGTCAGAAAATTAAAACTGAAAAGTAATGAGAGTACAATTTTAAACATTTAAAGTCTCTGTTGTTTTACAAATACTTAAAAGTTTATTCATCTCATATGTTGTAGACATCAAATCCAGTTACATACAGTTACACACAATCATACCAATACAGCGTATAGTGAAATCTATATGGATGACATTTTTTATATAGAGCAGGTCTAGACAGTTATCATTATAAAATTATTTGTAGAAACCCAACAATTCCCACCATGAGGAAGCACTTGGCAACAGTGGCAACAGTGGTACATGATCCATCGTGGATCACAACAAAAAACACGAGTTACTTCAAAAAGCCATCTAGCCCACTAATGTACTCCTGTATCGATTTCTTGATTTATTTTGAGAATCTCCACAAGGGACCTCATCTTGTAAGTTATTCCATTATCCTGATTAGATAAAGCGGAAACAGGATGACAGAAAATTTATTTTAGTGTAGAAAGCAGGGACCCATGTTACTGACTGAACATGGAGCTTTTCCTAAACCTAACCCAGTAGTTTTGTTGCTTTAACATAAGGGAAGGGAAGTCACCTGACTTTGTCCTTTCATGCATGTTAAGCTACCTGGGAGAGTGTACATTTTTGGGGTATGTTAGCATGCTGACATGAGCATTTAGCTCCAAACACTGCTATGCCTAACTACAGCCTCACAAAGCTGCTAACGTGACTATTTAACCAGCATAGGCCCATTCACTGGAAGAGTTTTCTGATTCTCACATATATTTGAGAAATAATACAATAAATCTTGCACATGGATGGAAAAAGAAGAGACTGGTTACCTCACACCCCTCCCATGTTTAATTTAGTGAACATCAACTTGACTCAAACTCAAACGTTTTAGAGTCTATAAATAATTTTATAATGATAACTGTCTAGACCTGCTCTATATGAAAAATGTCATCCATATAGATTTCACTATACGCTGTACTGCGTATGATTGTGACTGTATGTAACTAGATTTAATGTCTACAACATATGAGATTAATTAATTTTTAAGTATTTGTGAAATAACTGAGACTTTAAATGTTTTGAATTGTACTCTTATTACTTGTCAGTTTTAATTTCCTGACTTGACAATTTATTGTCAGCACTATCTTATATCTTCAGGTGTACTGTACGTGATCATCAAACATCGTATCATGATCTGAACGAGGCCTCACATGTTCCTGTGTGTTGTTTGTAAAAAGAAATAAAAATCTGCAAAACACATTTCTATTTGGTCAAAGTTTTTTTTATTGTTTATAACATAAAAAAATAAGCATGTTCAACAGCATAGACAAATTAGATTTTTAGAAAAATAATAAATAAATAGTTAAATAACTAGTTAAATAATAGGTTAATAAATAGATTAATAAATAAATAAATAAATAAATAAATAAACTTCAATAACAACATATTATGTATATAAAGATACTGACTGTGTAGACATTTAATTAAAATTCCAACAACTAATTTCAATAAATATATTAATAAATAGATAAATAGAAAAATAAATAGACTTCATGTAAAATAAATAAATGAACACATTGTTAATCTGACAGACAGATAACAGCTTTTAGTTGGTGGTGAGTAGAGATGAAACCAGCTGGTCCGCTCTCATCAGATGGGTTTTGATTTCTTTCCTGATCAGCTCCCAGGCTTCAGCACTGTGGCCCTACAGACAGAAGAATATTAGCATTATTAGAACATCAAAAATACAATATCTCATATCTGTAAGACCAAAATGATATAGGAATAAAATAGACTGACCATTTTCTTTAGGACATGGTGTGAGAGTCTCCTGAAGTGCATGTGCAGCTTTGTGTTCTTCTTCTTGTGGCCGTGGCTCCCAATCTAAATGAATTAAAAGAAAATTAATATTTAGAAAACAGTTTATTTCACCTGTAATGTGTTCAAAGAAATCTTCCTTACACAGTCACTGTGGAGCTGTTTAACTGGCACATTCATCAGTAATTCATTGGAAATGTATATGAATGTAATAGAAGCTGAAATCAGTTCAGTGGTGTCACTAAAAGTTTCTACTCACACAGGAGCGAAGGTTGTCAGCCTGCCGGGTTACAACATTGACAAAGTCCTCCACTGTGTTCTCCTCCCATGATGCAGAGCTGTGATCCTCCTCAAACAGGGCAGCCGTCTCATCAAGAATCTGAACTGTGAAGGCAAGTTGATCCTCAGCCTGGAAGAAGAAGAAGTAGAAGAATATATAACAGATATAACAACCCACACAAATCAATAATCACGTGTTATATTTTGTATTTCACTTAAACAGAAGTTGAGGATGACTTACTGATGCTTTGGACGCCTGTCTGTACAGAAGATTAGGGAAGGCCACAGTGTCCTCCACTTCAGCATCCTCAGTGGTGTTAGTGGAGTTATTAGCCTGCATCACACACACAAACACACACACATCATGTGTTGAAGTAAACAGACAGTAAAGTAAACTCATTCAGTTCAGATAATTCACTGACTTTAAACAATAAGAAGTCCACTTACCATCGTATCCAGTAGAGCCAAAGAGTTTTCACTGTGCTGTCTGAATTTATGATCCATGATCCATCTGCAGCTCAGCGAGGAGCCTGCACTGTACAGACTGAGAGACAGGCACACAAAGAAAATCCTGTTGAGCATTTTCAAAAAGGTAGAGATTGTCTTTGTATAGAGTAAATTCAGATGAGTGCTGGTTGTGTTGGAGCAGACCTGCAGTGCCTCCTTTATACTGTAGGACGCACCTGTTTCTGTTTCGAGACATACACCTGGAAACACTGTGGCAAATCCTCAGTGTATCTCACATTTCGAGTTGATTTGAGTTAGTGTCCTTATGATAATATATATCTATGCTACAATAAGATGATGTTGCATATAAATATCGAAGCTGTAATACCGAAGGAGGCACCATATTGCCTCATATAAAATCACAATAGCATATAGGCTAGAAACCCTATAAAAGCGGTAGAAACAAACAGGGTTCTTATTAAATATCACACATAGGAAACATTTTGGAAATATTTTTGCAATTTTAAAGGAAACGAAGACACAAAATGAGTTTTCTTGAATTAAATCTGTGTCGCCAATCAAGTGTTTCATTAAGGTTGTTCAGTTCAGTTCAGGCGATCTGTGCGATGGACATTATGTGTTTAAAAAATATTATTTTCTATTTGTTGGAATTGTTATCAGTAGTTTAATAACAATAATCAGGATTAAAAAGTGTAAAACTGTACATATGACTGCAGTGTGTTCACATACCAGACATACTAGAAATAGAAAGCGCTTCCCCAAAGAGAAAGTGGAAGTGAATGCGGCGGCAGTGAAGTTCTCAGATGTGAAAATCACACCTCACGTAATGACGTTTCAGATGTTTCGTTGCTATTTCATAATATAATCTACCTGTATGGTATTATTAAAATGCATTTATCATTTATTGTTCCTGTATGGTAAATGTAATGTGTGTCTATGTGTATTTTATATAAAGCTCAGTATGTCTAGTGTGCGTGTTGTCCCTTTAAAAGCCGAACAAATATAAATAAATAAATAAATGATAGGAAAATAAACGAACATAATAAAAATAAAAATAATGAGAGGTATATAATCTAAAAATAAGCATATAAATAAATATATGAATTATACAAGTGCCGTTAAAGTCACAATTAGAGCAATGTTTTTTTTATAATATAGGCTATTGATTTTATCCCATTATTACACATTATTTTCCTCATGTTTTTTGAGTGTTGATGTATAATACATGAGCACAGATTAAAGAAATTTGGATTGACATTGTAGCTACATCAGTTTTCTATATAACATAATAATATGTAATCTTCTGCCAAACATGAAATTTAGTGATAATAAGGTGAGAATGTTGTAGGTTGGAAAGGGGAGAGTCATGTGCACTAAAAATAAAAGTAGAAAAGAAATCTAATTATAAAGATATAATCCATTATTGTACTCTGGCGGCCCCTGTTGAACCAAGACAGTATGAGTCCTAAATATCACCTGTAATCACTGTATTTCCAGACTGTAGTTGCACTAGAAATGGATCTCCTCCAGGGAGAACCGATTGTGAGGATTTTAACATTTACTTCATTTCATCTTTACACATCTCTTCTTTTTTTTTTCAAATCAAGTAAACAAAACAAACTAATCCTTGTTATTGCAGTGTGGGGTTAATGGGGTAGAGTTACAGCACAGTTTAAAGGCTGTGGAGTGTGTGACTGAAACTTTATTGAACTCTGTTGTCAGTCTAACAGGGACGGTCTCGAACAGGACAGGGAACACAAAGTACTCACATGCCAGCACACACACACACACACACAGCAACAACACCAGCACGCCTCAAATGCTGCGCTGCCTTTAGGTGTTACACGTAAACTACAACTACCTGCTCTAGCGCCGCCGCTACCGCCGCTTCAACTTGACGTTAGTTCAGGAAATGACGACGCAACTATGTGCTGATTTCTACGATTAAGTGTGTATAGTATATGAGGCGCAGCTCGGGCACTTACTTGAGTGTTTTTCCAATTGGATAAAGCAAGAAACACGCATAAACGGCGGTTTTTTCGCATGTGCGTTGTTAGATATTACGACGTTCGGGCTTATTTGTGCTTCAACAAACAAACAAAGAAGTCTGTATACGCGCAGGCGTGCAACTGACACACAAACAACGTGAAAACAACTGTTTATTGTCGTTTATGCGCGTCCCTGTAACGCCGTCTCACTTTGACCGTATTTCCTCATGAGCAGTGAATGCATCACTGGTGTAGCTAGTTCCCATGATGCAGCTCTCCTCAGCTAGAAATGACAAGAGAGCGTTTCGAGGAAACAAATCTTAGTTAACGCAAATATTTCTGCGTCTTTGGACGATTGAACTGAAGCGATGGAGAGCGACTGCACGGATTAACCGGCCACTAGCGGAACATTTGCGGGTTTTACGGTAGTTTGCGGCGGATACGCGGTTGTCTCTGGAGCTTCATGGCCACTTAGCCAACCTGTTTCGGTAAGGAGGCTAGCTTTGGTTGCTAACGCCACATTCAGGTGTAAATTGTCAGTGTGGTGATTCACTGCGTCAACAAAAACTGCTATTAAGAAGTCGTTTAGACAGCTTGTTTTGGTTCTGTATGTATAATACTACGATGTCTTGGTTTTCTGTTTCCCGTCGAGCACCCCCAAACCTTAAACTAACATTAAAATAAAGCGATTTTAGACATTAGACATGCGTTTAGTCAAATTTACAACATGCAAACAATCTGATTATTACACCACTGTAAGGTTAATACTTTACACCACTTGCCTACCTACTGTTGTAGTGTAAGTAATACTACTAATAATAATAATATAAATAATAACTTGTATGTCTATCGCACCTTTTTAAAATACAAGTAAACAAACATACATCCAGCAAAAATACATCCACTTATTATACACCGTACACATATGTGCATAACACGCAATATATATATAATATTACAGTTTGTGAGTAGCTTGGCACTAGAGGTATTTTATCTTTTATCTTATTTTGGGTGTGATTGTGTCAGGGAAGCTTGGTGGCAAGCTGTCTCGATCCTGATTTGCTCTCATAGTGGTTTTGATTGGGGAACTTGGTTTTTGAAGCTACTTCCCCTGCAGACACCATCTTTAATCAGCGGCCTCACATGACTCAGTTACAAAGTGGTTACTCAGTAAAACCATGAAATCGCAGATATGTCACACAATGCGGTCTTGTGATGGAAAATGCACTGGTTGCTCAGTGGCAAATGGGCTGCCAATATGAAGTGAGGAAGAGGTATGGTCACATGTCTTGCTCTTCTTCCAGGACACACACACACACACACACGCACACACGCTTGCACAACTTGTTTATCCATCTTAAATGTCAAGGGTAGCAGGGGTCAGTATGGTTGTTGTTAGAGATGTTGGAGTGTTGAAAAGAGTCACATTTTGCATAAGTCAAAGGAATTGTTTTTCTTCTGTTTCAGTGTGCCATGAGGGAGTAAACCTTCCCGGGAGGTGCCATGCTAGCCACACAGATGCCCGATACGTCACCCGAGGCTAAAGATGTCAAACAGGTAACACCACAAGCTTTTCCCATTGTGCAGAGATCTTGTTTCTGACTTCGGTCTGGTTGTTTTCTCGTTTACTGTTACTGTGATGCCTCTGGTGAAGGAGTCGGATTGGCTTTATTGGCTCCTGCGATGGATTTTTTACGAAACATTGTCAGGTTGTGACATTTAAGTAGGATATGTTGTAATTTTACTGTTGAAACTGCACTCAGACGTGTTCGACATTACGCCGTTGATCTTGATGAACCTTTACTTACACTGTCATAGGTGTCAATAGGCTTAAGAGACAATCTGAAGGGACAAGACCAAATGCAGAATCAGTAGCAAAGCCAATGGCCAGCTGATCTTATCAATGAAAAGGGAGGACAGAGGTGATTGAGTGGTTTAGTTTATAGTTAGCAGAACACATAAACGCATGCGTACATTTTTACTGTGATGTATTGAACAGCATGGCTTTGCAGACAATGTACAGTGAACACTGCTGACTTGCTGAATTAATGTGTGTGTGAGTCAGGAAGCTGAGAAAGCGGGCAGGGATTTGGTCCTCTTTAAATCTTTTTAAGCTGTGTTTCTCAAGTCCTGCCAAGTCAAACACAGCAAAAAGAAGGGTGCTTCAGTGCTCACTGTGGAGAACACCCAGACCAAGGCCTCCTCAAAGTGTTTAGCAACCTACTGCATAAGGAGGGCATACGTTTATGTTCTCTTTCCATGTCAGCTGACAGTAGGTGTCATGTGACAGGTAATCTTGACATTGTTGTTTCATAACAACATGGCCGATGATATAACTCTGTCTATTCCTCATCACACCGTAGATTGTAATGCAGAAAATTATAAATATGCCTCTTGTGTGTGTTGGTAAACCGAGAAGTGTTTGTCAGTCTGCCAACCGGCTTCAGAAAACCACACCTTAGTTGACTGGTATGCAAAAACAGATGAGGAAGCTCATAATATTTCCCTCTCCCGTGCATTGGCACGTGTCACGTAGATCAAAGAGAAGTTGGCACAGTCGCTGAAGGCCCTGCAGAAGCGGTATGTAACATCCGACGCAGTGGTTACCAGTGAAGACGGCGATGCCAATCTCCTCTGCTGTGCCCTGGAGGCCATCTTCATCCACGGTATCAAGAGCAAGTACGTGCGCACCGAGGCTGGGGGCCGGAGTAGGAAGGGAGACCGAGGACCCCTCCCTCAGCCTTTCTTCTGGAGCCTCCTCAAGACCGTCACCCACCGGTAAAGGCACATTTACGCTATTATTAGAGCTGAAATGATTAGTTGATGAATTGATCAGTCGATCAACAAACAATGAATTGGCAACTATTTGAGTAATTGGTTAATTATTACAAAAATGTACTAGTAAAATGTCAAACATTCACTGATTCCTGCTTCTCTAATGCAATGACTTGCTGCTTTTTTCATTGTCTAGTAAACCAGTAAACTAAATAATGGGCATTTTATAGACCAAGAACATCATCAGTTTAATTAATAATGAAAATTATTGTATTTGCAGCCTCAGAAATCCTTCATTTATTCTGTGAAAACGTAATACAAAGTCTTATAACACTCTCTGTTAAATCCCCAGTGATGTGATCACAGAGCTGGAGAAGATCAGCTTTGTGGGCACGGACGTGGGGCGCTGCCGGGCATGGCTTCGGCTGGCCCTCAACCACGGCCTGCTGGAGTGCTACCTCGCGTCGCTGTTTCGGGAGGACTCCAAACTGCGCGCCCACTATCAGCCCAGTGCCTTGCTCCTGGACACCGAGGAGCGAGAAGTTCTGCTCAGCTACCTCCAGGGTCTGGCGTCTCTTACATTCAACCTTTCTTACAAGTCAGCTGTCCTCAACGAATGGACCACCACGCCACTGGCTCTCTCTGGACTTTGCCCCTTTCTCCAGGCAGAAGCAATCGAACTGCCCCTCAATGGCGGCGACCCTCCCACCGCCAAGTACAAAGAATCATGGGACACAGTCTCTCAGTCGTCAAGCTCATCCGACGCACTGGATATGCAGAGAGGGTGCCCGGTGTTGCTGTCGGGGAGAGGGTCAGGGGTGTTACAAGGGGGTGGAACTCCCCTCAACTCATCTAATTTAAGCCTGGACACCACAGGCTCCTCTCAGCTCTCCTCCAGCTTGAGCTCTGACAGCCTCCTGCAGGGGCAGGACCCCCGCAGCCCGACAGGAGAGCACTGGTCTTCATGTGACCTGGACATGCCCATCAATGTTAGCACCAAGAGGCCACAGAAAGAGTGAGTGTATCTTTTAGCTGTGTTTATTGATTTGTTGGAGCACAAGAGCAGTTGAAAGTTAGGATAAGGCTGATACCTGCAGATTCTCACCGTTTATTGGTGAATTAGATGCAATGATACACTCACCATACGATTCTCTAACAATTCTAAAAGATTGAGAACTATTTATGACTGAAAATCATTCCTTTATATTTCTCAGACAAACATCTACAAAATATATTTTCTCTTCATCCACTTATAGAATCCTTTTTTATTTCTGAGGATATAAAGTGGACATATTTTCTTTTTTTGTAAAAGTGAAACTGAAGTCTTTGCAACTTGATACCACAATACATTTTTTTATCGCACCAATTTTAATCTTCACATAATTGTATCACTGTTTAACTGTCTCCCAATACATCATACCACTCCTATTGGACAGTTAAGACAGGGAATGTGGGGAGAGAGATGGGGAAAATGCAACAAAGATCCCCAGCTAGAATTGAACTAGCAGTGTTGCAGTTCTGTGGCATGCACTGTAACCAGTGGCGTTCCCTCTAGTTTTTCCTATTTCAAAGCCAACAATACATTCATCCTGTTTTCTGTGTAGCCAATGCCTGATATATCTTTTCTGCTTCATAGAGCCCCATTGTTGTCTTAAAACTATTAGAAACACATGAATGAGCCAAACTGGTTGCACTGGGTGACATGTTGACATGACACACTACACACTGTAGTTTAGTTTCAGTTCTCGTACCGTGTACACTGTCCTGCTGCCATAGATAACCACTAAAAATAGTTCTCAACAAATGCTTTGCAAATGTTTCCTCCTGTTTAAGAAGTGTTTGCTAAAAACTACAGTGTCCAGCTTCAGGTGTATTTAAAATAATGAAACAATATATCTATCTTTATAGATTTACATCTTCAGTAGGAATGAGTCTGAGAGCAAAAGACAGGGTTGGGAGTCAGAAAGTATTTATAGACAGACTAACACATTGTTGGATTTGGTTTTTTCATTGGATTTGTTGAGAAAAAAATTATAATAATGTCCACATTATCCTTTAAAATAAATCATAACAAGATATATCCTTGTCTCTGTAGTTCCCAGAAAGATTTTCGGGAGAGCGGCCACTGCAGTCAGGACTCCATGCGTGAAGACTCCTTTGTTTCCAGCACGGGTCCAGATCAGTACTCCGAGACGGCCATTTTCAGTGGTTCTGACAGCGAGACCCAGGGTCCTCCTACGCCATCCCAAGACCAACCCTCATACTCTTCTGTACTGTCTGACTCAGATCCACCGCCAGCAGCCCTCGAGCTGCAATCATCTGAAGAGAAACATGTGGACTGCTCTCCCTCTGAAGTGTGCATTAGTGCCTCTTCTGAGTTGCCCTTGAACACAGACATGCTCTCAACAGGCAGCGAGCCTGGGGAGTCTGTGGAGCCCGTAGAGGAAGTGCATTCGAAAGGAGTTCAGGAGAGCACCAAGCCTGTCCAGGAAGAGAAACAAGCAGAGACCTCAGAGAAGAGCCCCTCGGAGCCTTCGGTGTATCAAGGCCCACGTCGCTCTACCAGCGTCCTGAGCAGGAAGTTGTCCTCAGATTCTCTGTCGGTAAGTATATTTGTAGACGTATTGCTTTCAGTTGAAAATAACACACACAGATGAGCAAAAGCCACAGGTATTACAAGGCCTCTATCTATGAAATCACATCATATGATTGGATTTAACTCTATGTCTCACATCCTCTCCTGTCGGTTATAAAAGTTGTGTTTTTCCCGACTGGAACTTAAAGACGTGACAGATGATTTTACAAAAAAAAAGGGAAATGCAGAATTGCGCTTGCTCCTGAATGACTTATTGTGTTTTCCCACTGAGGAAGTGACAAATAAGATGTGTGACTCTTAATACTGGAAGCTAGGGTGGAAAATCAACACAAGCAATTCAATAATTCATGGGATGTGGTATTTTTTCCACCCAAGGAGATCATGAGTAGCCATGTTATCAGTCCAGCTGTGTAAGAAAAATCTTCACTACTGCAATAATGGTGACAGAATACCAGGTTTATTAAGAAGTGGCAGAATAAAATAAATCATAATACCGTAAAACGAACTCTTACAAATTAAAACCCATATTCTGTGTTTTGTGTACATTTGATGTCCAAGCAGGGACAGCTCCAGGATATGATAATATTTCCTCCAAATGATAGGACTTTCTGTAGATGCCACACATTGGCAATTTTAATTAGCCCAGATGATGAGAAGTGACAGATTTGTGCTTATCTTATTCACAGTTTCTTAAGCCTGGTTTACGCGGCCTGCTTCTGCGTCTTGCTTTTTATTTTGCCACCGAAGGTAACAGATTAAAACAGCCACACCGTGGCTACATCGACAATTCACCTTTATTTTTTACAAGCCATGTGGTTCCCAGCAAACAAACAATGAAAAGGATCTGTTCATAGTCATATCGACATTATACCAGCAACATATACACCTTTCACCATAGTTTCATTGTCTGTATCTGTATAATATGTCACAGACATGGAAAAAATATAAATGTATTTTTTAAACTCAGCACTTCCTGTATCTGTTTGAGATTAAAAGCTCTCTTGCAATTCTGTGGACAGAATCCTTTCATATGTGCACAGGGCATTTATTGTACTGTATTTATTAAAGGCAAACTCAGTATAGAAAGATAGGGCTGGCAGCAGCAGGAGCGTTCTCTGTGTGGTCACCTCAGGCGTGCGAGCTGCGGCGCTTCAGCGAGGCAGCCGCCACGCACTGCTCAGGTGGGCGGCGTGGACGAACCGTTAAGTTCTCACACTGTTAACCCCAAAGTCATGTGATAACAGGAACCCCTCTTTCACAGACAGCGGTCTATTCATTGAATACACTTAGCTCTGTGTTCTCTGCGGTCTGGCCCATTGATAAAAATCTGATCTAAAACAAATTTTTGTTGGAAAGCAGGGAAAGTCGGGCTGCAACTACCTATTATTTTGACTATTCATTAATCTGACAATTATTTATATTTATAAATTATTATATCCCTAACTTTGGAGGGTTATTTAGCCCCCTTCCCAAAAACCTAGCATGACATAGTAGCCCTTCCAGTATCTTAACTCTAGCTTTTAAAAGGCCCAATCCCTACACACTCACACACTTTGAGGCACATTCCCGGTAAATCCACAAGGGCTTAGGGCTGTCCCAGTGTCATGAAGGCTCTCCCACAGACATTTATCCACACTTTCTGTTAGTCAGCATTTCTGTAGACTTTGCCCAAGGCAATCATCCTGAAGCGTTGAAATGACGGTGGGAGGAGTAACAACTAAAAAGAAGTTAATGTGTAAGTGTTATGATGCTGTATTGACAAAAAGGAGTAAAATCATAATTTCCTTTCCTTTATTACCTCAAATAAAGTAAAAACGTAAAAACCTACAATTGTAGGGTATTGCCATTGTCAAGGTAACGTATAGTAATATGAGAATAAACTTTATTAACGTAGCACTTTTCAAAACCAGACTGACAAAGTGCTTTATATGGTTGAACCAGCATTATAACATTTCAGGACTGCAGGAAGTGAATCAGGAAATTAGAATAATACAGAAATAAAATGTAGTTAAACCCACAAGATACATTCTAATGGTAATATAGATAAGACATGTTGGCGATAAAACTTTCTTGAATGAATAAAACTTTTAACAAGTGTTTCAAAAGATGTCACTGATATGTCACAGCTGCGGTCCTGTTCCTATTTATAGCATTTCCTTGCAGCCTCTCACACTCAACCACTTACCAGAGGACGTCAGCTAAGTCTGTGAGGGTTCAGAGCTTAAGCTTTAGGATGGAGATTGGGCCAAACTGAGCCGGCTAAAGCCTTTGAAAGACAGTAATGTCGGCCGAGGACATAGGTGTCTTAGCAGAGTTTAAGAGGTCATTGATTATCGGAGTTGTTGCATGCTAATTGATCAGTTGACTAAATATTGAAGTCCTAAATAGCAGGTATATGCTAGTAGGTTGATTTCATTGCCTTCCTGTATGATGTGCTTTCAGACATGCACCCATTTATGTTCATCTGCTATTCAAGTTGTTGTAGGAAAACATTGTTCCCCTTCACCGTGCAACCGGGGAAATATATATTTTAAAAAAGCTTGTCGTTTACTTTGCAGAATTCTCGTTGCTGGATCTCTGAGGACGACATCTACAAACCCCATCTGGAGGAGGTGACGGACCATGACGAGGCGCCTCCTGCTCCCACAGCTGAGCTCAAGGTCTCTCCGTCACCTCCCAGTGTCGTCCATCGCAGACAAATAGGTATTCTATCTCCTAACTGAAGAAAATCACACAGTACAGTACAGTTCATCTTCATCCTACAAACAGTTAGATTGATCCGTCTCATCTAGAGCTGAAACACTCAATTAAACAGAAGTCATCAGAAAAAAACAATTTTGATGATTGATTTATTTGTTTTAGTAATTTTTCAAGCAGAAATAGTAAAACAATTCTTCTGATATGAGAAGATTCTTGCTTTTCTTTGTCATCAATCATTCATCATTGTGAACTAAAGTCCTAGACTGCTTTCAAATGTCATAGACTAAAGGTGCAAAGGAAACAAAGCTCATATACTTTCAGTATATTCTTGAAGTTTCCTTCCACCTAAAACATTTGCAACACAGGTTTTTCTTTTTTTGCTTCTCGGTGTGTTACTGCCACCTGTAGTTCAATTGAACGGTGTAAAACTGACGGCAGGGTTTTCCCACTTATTAAAACATTGCATGATAGAACTACCAAAGGTCAAAAACTCCACAGTGTACTTTCAATGTGAACACACCTGGTCGGCAAAGGTGTCCACCAAGGAGTCGGTATTCTGAAAGGTAAATATTAACTGTTTACACAGGGCTGTAAATTCCTGACAAACTAGAAACTGTGGAATGAGATAATCAAAATATTGCAACTCGAGCCACACCCCCAAACAGTGATGTCACGCAGGTGTTTTCCATCCTGCTGTTACATCATTAATGGGACGTGACCAGATTGCACTGGAATGTAATCCTATTTCAAGACGTCACCTGACTTGTAAAGAGAGACCTTCGTGACGGTTCATTATTACAAGGAAGTGCTTGGACTACGCAGAATTTGTTGTTGTTAATGGGGGCAGTATTCCAGGAACAACCACTGTATAGTCTCACAACACCATCAGGTTTCATAATTTAACCCTTTCACTGGTCAAGAACAGGTCACCCAAAGGCACAATGTTAATTAGAGAATGTAAGAGCATGAAAACAACCACTGCTGTTTAAGTTACTGTTATTTTATGTCAGTCGATACAACATTTAATTATTTGTGAAAGTAAAGATCATCTTAACCCTCTGCCTTGGCTTCTGGTTTTGTCACAGTTATCACAGAGACATTTATTTAGAACATTTGAATGATTACATTACCAAAACTGATATAAATGGTTGATTCTGTGCTCATTTTCAGTATGAAATTATGATAAGCTTATCTTTTCACTGCTGTTTCCTTTAAATGTTGTTCATATCTTTTTCATGTTTTTCTTTTGACAAAATAAAATTTGTCTTAGCTGTCAACTAGTTTCCACGACGTGAAAATAGATCAGATCAAGTGACACTTTTCCCTAACTTTCCATTACTGTCCATCTGTCTGTCCGTCAGGGCTGTCCAACCCGTTTCGCGGCTTGCTGAAGCTCGGTCATCTAGAACGACGAGGTGCAATGGGATTGTGGCGCGACTACTACTGTGAGCTGTCACCCTTCGAGTTCCGCCAGTATCTGAACGCAGAGGAGCGGACGTGTTATGACAACTGCTCCCTAGTGCGATGCGAAGACGCTCGCATCTCCTCCACTGAGGGCCGCTTCGAGTTGGCCTTCCCCGGGAAGCGACTGTACCTCCGGGCAGCCAATCGCGACGAAGCTGAGGACTGGGTGGACCGGATAGTGGAGGCCGTCAACAAATGCCGGCCAGCATCTCGTGCTGATGAGCAGTGGGAGGTGCTGCAACCCTCCAGTGAGAATGGTGTGGATGTGTCGACCCCGTCCTCCACCCCTTCCAGTCCCGAACGAGGTTTGTCATCCTCTGACTCTGGGACATACGGGCTACAGGAGGCTCCTCCTCTACAGGACTTTGACTGGACTCGGACTGCTGATTTGGAAACGGATGCCATCAAAGAAGCTGTTTTGTACTTCTCCGTAGATCCTGAGGCTCGGACTTGGGTACCTCTGGTCTTCTCCCTGTCCTTAGAGACCTTGAAAGGCTTTCGTGTACAGGAGGGAAGGAAGTTGATGCGGCAAAACCACGCTATTGAGGAAATCCGGGACGTGGTGCCTGACGTCTCTCAGGGAGGACCGGCCTTTTTCAAAATCCTGACCGTCAGGGAGACGCTTCGACTCAGGGCGGAGAACGCAGATGAGGCTCGCTCTTGGAGGAATTTGATTCGTGGAGCTCTGGACTCCTACCTGGAGAGCGGGGAGGATGGTAGCTCTGGGGATACAGCTGTAGCATGCCTCGGGGGGGCTGGAAATCTCCACAGACTGGTGCAGCACAGACTAAAAGAAGATGGAGCGCTTCTAGTTCATCTGTGCACTGTGCCTTCAGAAAAGGGGCTGGACACGCAGAGCTTTAAATGTGCAGGTACTATCAACTATCCGTAGAGCATCTGATCAATTTTCTGTACCTCCCAATCACAAAAACAATAAACGAAAACCATTTAACTATGTAACGTACTTACCTGTGGTAGAAGCACACAAATCAAGAAAAAATGAGGGTGTGAAGCCATTCCACTGTAGACTTTATAGTCTGTGTTGCCCTCATCTGTCAAACCTCCATCTCATTCAAATGTAGCATTTCAATTTAGTTTCTTTCTCTTTTCTGCACAATTGCAGTATAAAGTAGCAAAGCAAACTTCTTTCTCGTCAGTTTCTGTTTTAGCTCAGAAAAAAAGGAACTAATTATAGTTCCCCTATTGTCCAGTTACTCAGTTGTTCAGTATGTGCTCCTTTCTGACTGACAAGATGTAAAAATCTGTGTATCCTGGTGGAAACAGTCGTTATGTGTCAAGTCTTTCTAGGTTTCTAATAATCCTCAGGTCTGTGCGTGTTGTATTTGTGAGCCTGAGTGAAACTGAGGTCTGTTTACTGTGTGTCATTCGCAGGGTGTCCTCAGCAGATTGGCCCGTCCCGTGGCAGAGCCAGGCTGTGTGAGTTCTCGGGCCAGTACTACTGTGACTCCTGTCACCACGGAGACACCACTATCATCCCTTCACGCATGGTACACAACTGGGACCTCACACAACGCGAGGTAGGTGCAGCATATGCAGATCACGTTTTAACTACGTACGTAGGTATCAAGGTGATACTTGGGCGAAACTGTGTTGAAACCAGTGATACCAAAAGCCTCGAGTTGCATATCTGATCATTTAAAGGGGGACTGCCTCAAGTGATGTCTCTTGAGTCAGCGTCGGTTGGGTCTGTGGATGTTTAGTTAGAAAGGAATGAGGTGACCAGACCTCTATAGCCCACTCCTCTTCTCTGCTCGAGGCTAGCAGCATGAGGTTACATTAGCCGCTACTAACATAACACACCCCAGTCTCAGAACCAACTCTCTGCAGTCAAGTTGCATCATGGGTAATGTAGGCATCCAGTTTTGTCCAGAAAAAAGATTGATATCTGGTTCTGCTGCATCAATTTTGATACTAATTTTGATACTCTATACCAGGGGTATTCAATTAAAAGTCACGAGGTCCACTACTAAAATTTCCTCCAAATAAAGGTCCGAACCGAAGTCCAGCTTGTGTCTTATTATTGTGGCTACCCTATGTTCACATTTTCATATGGTTTCAATAATACTTATTGTCACTTTTAACAGAGTGCACTTATATAGGAAACAGCCAGCAGTTTACCATAAAAACATTCCCAGTCAAATAAATTTAAGGCCTTTATTCATATTAAAAAAACAGAAACCTCAGAATAAAATAAATTAAGCAAACAGAGCCTAATAACCCACTTTCTTTAAATTAAAGAGGTCCCAGCCTAAAGAACGAAGGCCTACACTTATGACAAAAGTCATAAAAGTGTCTCCTTTAGGAACAAATCAAGTGCAAACAGAGCATTGACTAAACATCTTTCTTTTTTTCTTAAATTGGAGAGGTCCCAGCCTAAAACTGAAGGCTTACTTTTCAAGTAAAATAGGTCAACATGTTCAAAAAACAATAAATAAAAAATGGCTGAGGATGCCCTAAGGAAGTTGATGAGTTTCATCATTGTGTTCATTACTCTGCAAACTGTTCTGATAAAGTGGCACACAAAACAGTCTGATGGATGAGACAGTGGTAAGCAATAAGATGTGGGTTGTCCTCTTTCATCCGGGGCACAGCCCCCGCTCTTTCCCACCATGGCAGGGGCACCATCTGTAGTAACAGACACAACCTGCTTCGGATCCATGCCCCTCTTTCTCAGCATCTCTTTTATTGCTCCATATATGTCCTCTCCTCTTGTGTGTGTTTCAAGTGGTGCTACACCCAGCAGGTCCTCACAGAGCTCCTTCATCTTTGTGAAAAAACTCACATACACCAAAAGCTGGGCATTATCAGTAACATCTGTGGACTCATCGATGGCCAACGATATGCATGGTGCACCTGAATAGCTGCATCAAGCTGTGCCAGTACATCATCTGCTAATATTTCAGATTTTCTGGTTGCTGTTGAAGCTGACATGGGGATTTGTTTGATTTTTCACACATCTCGTCTTTTTGTTTTCCTTCAAATAATGTCTCTGCAATCGCGTTTAAGCACTCCTTCACAACTGTCCCATCACTAAATGTTTTTTATGTTGCCCCAAAATCCACGATACCCTTAGTGAACATTCGTTGCACGTTGCTGGGCTGTAAATGTGTGCGTGATGAGTCCAGTAGACCTGTCATATTGGGCTCGGAGTTGGGTTATTTTGCGTGCTCTCAGCTCGGACTTCAGGGGATAACTTCGCCAAAGGAGCTCTGCCGTGTTCGTAGTGGCGCTTCACGTTGCCACTTTTAATTAATGCGACGTTTGAACATATGAGGCACACTGGTTTTGAACTGTCTGCTGGAAGAATGAACACAAATGTCTCCGTCCATTCATCTTTAAAACAACGGTTTTCCGCATCTACCTTCCTCACTTTAGAGCAAGCCATGCTCTCAGCACTGTCTCTTTCTCTCTGCTCAGGTGCGCTGGCCGTGCAGGGTAAACAAAGGGTTTGATTGGCTCAGTTGAGTGACGCTATTGCCGTATTAACTGGAGTAGCAGCGCCCGCGACCGTTAGAAAAATGCTCCATGGAAAATTTCTATTCTTGTGAATTTATCAGAGATTGTTCATGGGTCCGGTCAGAACCATCACTGCCGGATCCGGACCGAGGTCCGCCATTTGGTGATGCATGCTCTATACAGTTCTTTCCTGTAGCACTCGTGTGTGACGTGTATGTTTGTGTGTGTCCAGGTGTCTAAGAAGGCCCTGTGGCTGCTGGCCCAGGTAGCACAGGAGCCTCTGCTGAATCTGGAGCAGTTGAACCCCGAGTTGGTGAAGCATGCAGAGTCCATGGCTCAGGCCCACAGCCTGCGGCAGAAGCTACGCCTGCTGGGCGACTACCTGCTCACCTGTCGCAGCGGAGCCTGCAAGAAACTCCAAGCCAGGTGTGTGTAGATGTGTGTGTGTTTTACATTTTACCATAATGTATTACAGCATTTTATTATATACTTTTTTTAATTTTTTATTATTCTCCACCAGAATGGAGCAACGAACGTACCTGTTGGAGTCGAGCCACCTGTACAGCGTCATGGACCTGCGACAGGTATCTGCGGTGTGGATTATCTTGTGGCACCAGTCATCTGCCACTTTGAAATATCTTAATGTGTGAGTGTGTTTGGTTTTTTCTAGATAGCAGAGGGCGAATACGGAACCTACCTGATGACGCTATCGCAGTACGCCTCCAACCACGTGTTCCACTGCGACCTGTGCACTCAGCGTGGCTTCATTTGTCAGATATGCCACGCCAACGACATCATCTTCCCCTTCCAGTTTGACAGCACCACCAGGTATGGTATCCTAGGCCACTACCTTCCCTTTTTCCTCAGCCCCTCTCTTTCATCCCCACCGGTGTTGGGAGTGTCGTTAAAGTAAAGTTTTAAGATGGTAGACTCGCAGCACAACCGAGTGTCTCCCCTGGATTTTCCAGTTTATGATCTAATGTTATACATCCTTATGATGGGCCAAGACTGTTCAGTCCGTTCATTAAAATAAGTCTAGTAAAGTAAAATAGGTAAGTGTAGCTTACAGGTAGGAACACTACTCATTGCTGCCCCCTGGTGGTTGGCACTATTAAGATATTGCCCCACAGCAACACTAAAATATTTGTTAAGATTCAACCCAAACCCCAACAGTTTATGGAAGGGACACTTTGACACAGCAGCTCTAATGTTTGACCGTCTGTGATCGGTCTGAAACATCCCTGGTTGTGTTTCCTTTTGTAAAATCTGCATCTTTCTTCCACTTCTTTGTCTGTTCTTCCATCTTGCAGCTTGGTCGCCACCATTTCCAGTTTCTCTTGGTTAATTTTATGCTAATGACAAAAATAAGCCTCAGACACTATACACTAGTGTGTGTGTGTGTGTGTGTGTGTGTGTGTGTGTGTGTGTGTGTGTGTGTGTGTGTGTGTGTGTGTGTGTGTGTGTGTGTGTGTGTTAACATTTTCAGTTCTGTTGCTATGTTAGTGAAGTTTGACTTTGCCTTTTGTGTACTGAGAAACTACAGTTTGATTTGATTGTAGTTAGGGCTTAGTATAACAAAAATAGGATTTATATAAGGATTAAGCAAACAAATGTTCATTGTCATCATAATTAAATGAAAATGTCATTGTGTCACAATTTTCCATGCCACTTCACAACACAGAAAACAAAGTGAAGAGATCTTGTAAATGTTCTATTTTTATGTTCTCTTAGGTAGTTATGTCAAATAAAAACTATTGACTGAATACATTAGAAAAAAACAGATGCAAAGTAAATAACAAGAGTTAAGAGTTGTCCGTTACTAGTTTTTGTTCCAGATGTGGAAATTTCTTTCTATATTGCCTTCACATTGAGTTTTCAATGCTTTCTTTTTGTCTCTGACCAGGTGCAAAGACTGTAAAGCCGTGTTTCACCTGGCCTGCAAGGCTCCGGGGATCTCGTGTCCTCGCTGTCAGCGAATGAGGAAATACCTTGAGAGGGATCTGCAGTTCTGAGCGCAGCTTGTCTAACAGGCCATCCCCCTTTTCAGAAAGATGGAAGACCGCCGATGGGGAGAAAAATAATAAAATCTAGCTTTTACAATGAAGTAACCTCAAGTGCAATTATGAGTGCGATTTGCCTGCCCTAACTGACCTTAAAACTGAAGAGGAAGGTGCTGCAGTAGCTTGACTCTCTTGCACTAATGTAGAGGCACATTGAGCCTCATATTGCTGACATAAAGCAGCCAAATGTTACCGACCAGTGACAGTAATACCTCTCTGAACTCGGATTCAGCCATGCCATCAAACAAAGGACTCAACGGCCGCGAAAGGTTGCTGCCAAGACATTTTTACATCATCGGTTTTTACTTTGTCTCATTGTGTCGAGTACAACGTTCTTAACCATCGTGTTTACCAGAAATGCTCCGTAGCACACTCATCATATGTCACATATTTAAACGTAACACAGCAGTGGGGTTGGGTACTGTACATGCTAAATATCTAAAACAGCACTTGAAATGTTCTAACAGATTTTGATTGTGCCTTCTTATTAATTTAAGCTTTACACCGTCTTCCTCTTGTCTTTCTTTTGTGGCCAAAAATCATTAGGCTGTTTTTTTTCCATAACCACAAGATGAAATTATATTGCTGCATTAGATACTGATTTGTGTAAAGGTAAAAATCAGTCGCCAAGAAGACTTTGTGGAATGTTTCTCTCTTAAAGTTTATAAATCTTAATAATAGGCGTTGAGATGTTTGATTTAAAATCCAGCTCTGTAGTCCCCGAAAGGTTCAGAGATTTAAAGAATATATTTGGTAAAACAATCTGTTATGCTCCTCGTGTGGTGAGCCACGCTGATATAACCTATAAAGTTGCTGAAATAAATAAACAATACATGCGTGGCAGAATTTGTAAGATGTGCAAATTACAATAAGATTTTTGGGATAAATTATTGGATTTCACTGATCGTGAAGTCAAAATTCATTTTGCATATTTGCACTTAGCTATGACTGTTAAATTGATATTTCAACTATAATTTAGTTGTGATATCTTCTAGCACGTAGAATTACTCCTAAACCAACAAACAAACCTGCATTGCTGACATTTTTCTCTATTTTTTTTTTTCATCTCTTGAGTATTTGACTCTGATGTAGAGTTGAACTCACAGCATTAACATATCTATAGATTTTTTTAATGCAGAATCTACAGAGAAGAAAACACATTGAAGGATTTACTTATGAAGTTCATTTTAATATATGCAGAACACATCACTTGCAAGTGGCAAGTACAGAATACTGCAGTACTGTTATTCCTCGTTTGTATTTTTTTTTAACTGTCATCTCATTTATTATGTATAAATGACTATTATGAAATAAGTGTCAGTGTGTTACTTTTTGAATCTCTTCTGGGAGTCTGCCATGTTGAACCACCATGTTTTCACAGGTACTGTAGCCCAGAACGGACAAACCAAACACAGGCTGTAGATAGGGACTTTACGTGAGTTTTGTTGCCACCAAAGTTTCTCCTTCACACTTTGTTCTCATTCCCAGGTTGTCAGATACCGATGCTTGCAGTGTTCAGTTAGTTGCACCTCTAGATGCTACTAAATCCTACACGGTGGTCCTTTTAACTTGCAGCTGTAATGTCTCTTTGTATTTAAACAATTGTTCAGATGTCATTTTACTTTAAGTTATTTTTATGTGTATGTATATGCATCGATAATGGCATATCTGTTGTATATTGTATAAAAATATGGTTTATACTGATATAGCAGTGGAAAACTAACAAAACAAAAAACATCAAGGGAGGGAGGGGGTGTAAACAGAGTACATTTACTCAAGTACTGTACTTAAGTACAAACTCAAGGTACTTTTACTATGTTTGTAGAGCCACTGTCCTGTAAACTTCTCATGAGCTCAGAAGAACAAACTGTTTTCAGCTGTGTGACAATACATTTTCAAGTTAATCCAAGAGGGTTTTAAATACTTTATTTATCTTAAGAGGTAGAATAATTTCTTAACCCTTCTGTTTATCACAAATATTCAAATTCACTCAATTTGGACATACAAATCCCTCAAATTTGTACTTAGGCTCAAGTTTTCTCGAGTTGTGTGTGTGTGGGGGGGGGAGGGACATGCCACAAAGAGAAAAGCTCAGGTGCAACTAATCACACAATGATTGCTCCCTGCATTGTCATTAACGCAAAGAGGTTCCACACAGAAATGTTGTGGGCTCACTATTAATTGAATTAGTTACACCTGTGTTTGATGAGTCAGAAGGGTCCCTCTTTAACATTACAGTTCATTTTGAGCTTATTAACCTCAATACATTTCACTTCATTAGATGTAAACTGCAGAACTTATGTGTAAACTAAAAGCACAAAAACCTGAATGAACCAATCAAGGTCTATGTGTCCTATCCAGAGAGTAAATAAGGGCTCAGTTCTTGTAAATGCACGCACTTACATACGCCTATATAATATTGCGAAGATTTGCTTCAACCCTCAAGGTGTTAAATGGGTGCACCGTGGAAGTAAGCGTACATAACAACAGCTGATGGGAGGAGTAAAGCCAGGACAGCAAGCCTGTAAAACACGTTCCGCAAAGCCTTCCAATCCAGTCTCTTCAGCCGGAGCAGCAGATCAGGTCTCTGCACCCTCACCCGGCACCGCATTCCCGTTCGCATTCCCCACTCTGGAAACCATTTTTTTTTTTTTTAGTTGTTTTTATTTGAGTGCTGAGTTCGCGGCTCAACAGGCGAGAGAGTCGGACAGTTTCTGGGATGGATGCTGCTGAGAGAACCGCCCCGGAGAGCCGGCTGGAGAGGAGCAGCCACACGGCGTTCATTGACAACAACACACTGTATGTGTGGGGAGGTTACCAGGTGAGCAAGGTCGGTGTGTGATTTATAGGCCTACCTGTGCAGGTATATCTGCGAGGAGCGACATAAACAAGCCGATTAAAGTGTCCCTGTTTCTCCTCTGGGAACTTCATGCGTCCTCCAGTCACTCCAGTATGTTGTTTTTCAAGCTGAAATTAATTTAATTTAATTTAATTTTAAATAAAGACCACTACAGCACGCCTGCAGTACATCCTACCTTCATGGAGGTGATTAAAGTTTGTTTTTATTGAAACTTTTAGAGAATTTTTATTTTCTTTTATCATTTTTGAGGCTGTGTTTTGTGGTGTTTAATTGCATCATATTGAGAGGTGTTTCTAATATATTATCCAACTTTATTAATTTAAGTGAGGTGGACAAATATTTGAGACATCTCAACACAATTCCCCAGTAACAACAGCCCTCAAAGGGACCCTAAAGTTCAATAAATGCCTCTGTAATGTGGTGTAAATTAAAAACCAGAGCACTATAACCATCATAAAGGTTATAACGTTAATAAAGATTTATTGCAGGGCTGTGGTAGCTTGTATTAGGTTTACCCAATAAACAGGTAACTAAGAGGATATTTGCATATAGAAAAAATGCAGAAATACACTCAAAAACAACTTGATAGCAACAGGATTCTTCCCTGTGAGAGACGTGAACATGTTTGAACATGGAAACATTTCTGAAGCCGTATCTCGTTGCATCCTGGTTGTTGCTGTGGCTACAGATGTTCAGTTTGTACTGGATGAGAAAATGTCACATAAAACCAGGTTTTAATGTTTGTGGTCAGCACAGCCACAGCTTTAAACCTCAAATCTCTGCATCTTTTTTTTTTTTTTTTTGGGGGGGGGTTATTCAGCTGATAAGAGTACAAGTACACTGTGTTTTCAAACATGACTTTATCTCTTTCCTCCTCCCCAGGTTGTTGCTGGAGAGGACGTCATGTTGCCCAGTGATGAGATATGGCTCTGTGATTTAGACAGCGGGACGTGGTAAGATATAGAAAGGCGGCTGTTTATCGACACTGTGTCATCATGACATTTAAAGTTATGGACGTCGGCCTAGAGCGTGTTTGTTTGATTTAAGTTGGTTCTTTTAAATATGGCATACAACTTGATGAAGAATTTTTTTTTTCTTTTGTGACAGGGAGTGGCGGGAGATCACTGGAGACAAACCCCCAGACTTATCAGGCTTCTGTGGCTCTCATGTTAACGGCGCACTCTACATCTTTGCAGGTTGCGACTCCCTTGGATACACAAACCAGGTGAGCTGTCGTAGACGACCACAAGTTGAGCCCTTGTTTGTGAAAGCAGCTGGCTTCGTCTTGGAGCCGGTTTGTGCCGGTCTTTGATTAGCATCGCGTTTCAGTCTCCGAGCTCAGTATTGTTTTTCCTGCAAGATAAATACCCACCATTCTTTAAAAGAGCCAGAGGGTCGTTTAACAACAAAACCTTCTGTCCTTGCGGCTTTTCTGAAGCCCTGAAAACCTGTTTCCACCGCAACAACTTTCCCCAGGGACCAGGAACCTTTTGGAGGAACTAGGTGTGTTTCCACCGCAGGGACCAGGGTCTAAATTAAGTTTCGGGGACCTTTTTTTTAAAAATTATTTTTAAAAAGTCTTGAGGGGTAGTATCTACCAAAAGAACTCGCAGCATTTTATTTCAGCCACAAACTAGTTTTTTTGTTTGTTCATTGTGCTTCGACCCATCAGGAGAAGTTACAATAGAAGGCATACAGCAGATGGCCTGGTGACGAAGTCCAATTGCAATGTAAAAACAACAGTCTCTTTTCTATACATCCACAGACTAATTTGCCTAATATTCATGGGTCTTTAGACCTCTGTGGAGGATCCTGGGGCTTAAAGTTCCTGGTACCTTGGGTGAAAATGCAGCTAAAGGCGTCCATACTGCTTCTGCTGCAGGATGAACACTATGTCAAACCTAGGAAACAAAACTCCCCATGCACAGCCAGTAGCAGTCAGGTGCTGGTAGGCTGCAGGAACATCTTAGATCAAAAGGAACCACCACACACTGAAATGACTTTACTGTGACTTTATTAGGAGTGAACAATACGTTTTTGCCTGTAGCTTCTTTAGGTTTGTGCAGTACTGGGCAAAATGTAACTAATACGAGAGGCCCAAAGTGGGACTTGCTCAGGGCCTTCCTGTCTTCTGTCTTCCTGGCAGGTATTGTATGAAGGGAAAAAAAAAATCTGACATCTAGAACATGTTCTAATTTGATTTTGGCGAGACGGACACAAAGTAAAGCAACGCACTGTCAGACGGGTATGTGCACAGAAACCGGTTGTAATGTGATAAGCAAGAGTTGTTTCTAAACATCTGCACGTCACAACGTCCACACGTCCCTGTTTACATAAGGCAATAACAAGATATTCTGAGTGGAAGCACACACAGTGGCTATTTAAGGCAGATAGCAATTCAAAGTGGATACATTGAGGACATAGAAAAAGTAACTTAAAAAGACAAAACGGTAGACAAAAAGAAAATGACATATCATTAGCCACTGCTCTAAACTCAAGTTTGCTCCCTTTCATTTACATTCATACCACCACACACCCTGGAATCTTATACGAACCGGTTTGCCCTGTATCATTAATCCTTAGCATTGGTTAACAATTGCACATGCCATCATATGTACCCAACGCATGTTTTCCAAGCCCAGGGTGTGTACTATTTTAAAAATGCAGTTATGCCAAGCTCATACCAGACAGTGGAGATTGTCCAACTTGATTATTGGGTCTGGAAGAGGCAGAAGCATTTTATAGAGGTAGCCAAGAATGGCTTTAAAGACGAAATGTGCATATGAATCTTCCGTTATCAGTGCGGTCTGTCCTGGTTGAGCTTTCATAGGAAATCTGCTCTGGCCTGCAGTGCTTTTTAAAGTCTCCTTCAATGATTGATCTCATATATATTTGACTCTCCTGTTTCTAGATGTTCAGCGTTGACCTTACAGAGCAGCACTACTCATGGCAGAGGGTGACCGACACTGTGGGAACGACACCATCACCACGAAACAAACACTCCTGCTGGGTTCACGGAGACAGGTCAGTCCAGCCTGGGGAGTCACACCACAGGACCCAAACTGTCCATTGAGAGTAGCTGGACCAGCGCATATGTACGGCTGAAAATGAGCTCAAACTGAGCCTTCCAGCAGCTGTTTTCAGTGTTAATCTTGCGTTTTAAATATACATTAACAGCTCTACAGGAGGAAAAGTTGGAATTTAGTTGAGGAATATTGATTCTTATTATGATTCTTCTACAATTAATTTAATTTCTTTAGATTTATTACAAAAATACTTCCAGTTGTCTGTAGTTTCACATGTGAATCAATGTTGTGAAGAACTCAGTATTTCCTTTTCTTCTTGCTGCAGATTGATCTACTTTGGTGGATATGGATGTAAGACAATGGGGGAGGTACGAAACACATCGTCGGCAAGCTTTGTCGTGGAAGAGATGTCCTGGGTAAGTAATCCATCACAACAGCAGCTGCATATCTAATGAGACAAAAATACATTTAACACATATATACATACATTCACTCACCAGAGGGAAAACTAACCAAAGAACATTTTCCGATCTGTCTTTTAGACAACAATTGGAAATGCCTTATTCAGGTGCTGGGGCTGGAACAATGAAGTCAATGTTTTTGACACACACACTGCTACGTGGAGCATGCCAGAGACTCAGGTGAGTAGAACATGATTTCATGTCCCAAGACTTTACTTAAAGGGTCCGGTGTGAAGGATTTAGTGGCATCCAGCGGTGTAGTTGCAGATGTAGAAACATGGCAGCCCATGGAAGGCAAACCTGCAGCAAGTAACAAAAACATAATGTAATGATTCCTACATTCAGGTGATTATACACTAATGAAAACAGACCATTGACTATTATATTTATGAGAGAGAATTATTTTTTTTTCACATTTTCTGTGCTATATTACCTTTTTTTTGGTGTTTTTACTTTTTAGACAATAAAAATACAATGAGGAATGCCTTGGTGTTCACCTGGACAACACCTTTTAGCTAGAAGGTCCATGTTATGTTCTTGCTTACAGATTATAGTTTTTACGCAGACTCTGAGTGTATGGGGTGGTATCAGAGGATTTTTATTCTACCAGCCTATATGCGATGTCAACATGTAATGGCAATCTCACCGAACACTTACAAGCCTGGTTTTCTGGTTCACACTGCCATGGGAAGGAATGAACACAGTCCTTCCAGTCAATATATGAGCAGTTTGTTCTCAGGCAAGCACAGACAATATCGTCTGACCCATCTAGTATTCTCCATGGCGAGTATGAGCTTTTGCCCTCTGGCAGACGATATAGAGTTCCCCAAACTCAACCATTTTAAAAAAAAAAAAAAAAAAAAAAAGGTGCTTGAGGCTGCAGTAGTGTTGTTATTGTCTCTGGTTGCGTAATATGTGCAATGTAGTTTGGGGTTGTGATTTGGTACAGGATGTGCTGTTTTGTTTATGTTCCTTTTCTATTATTACTACATGGAGGCACCATTTGGGTCCAAGACACCTTTCCCTGTGGTGACAAAGTTGTATTGTTACAAAATGATGATCTTGGACTCTTGTTGTTCAGGGTCCGGTTCCTGCGCCCAGAGGCTGCCACTCTAGCGCCCTTGTGGGGAACAAAGGTTACATATCTGGTGGCGTGGTGAGTTGGTCTGACATTGCTGAGCAAGTTATATACATTATAATTTTAAACTGCCTGTGCTGTAGCCAAAAATATGTGGACACCCCTGTCCACATGCTGTTGTGTGCTATTTTTAATGGTTTCGTCGTCTCTGTTCTAATAAAGCGAAATCTTAATGATAACATCATACCAAGATATTTCAGACAATAGTGTGCTTCCAACTTTGTGCTAACAGTTTGGGGAAGGTCTTTTCCTGTTTCAACATCCCTTTCCTGTTGCGACGTGACAATGCCCACATGCACAAAGTCAGATCTATAAAGAAATGGGTTTTCATGGAGTTTTGTTTGGAAGCAAAGAGCCCTGACCTCAAACCGATCCAACACTTTAGGGATGAACTGGAATGCAGAGAGCGTGCCAGATCTCCCCCAATATCAGTGTGTTTGACCTCACTATTGCTCTTGCGGCTGAATGGGAGCAAATCCCTTCAGCCAGGCTTGAAAAACTGGTGGAAAGCCTGAAACTAGAAGAGTGGGATTTGTTTGTAGCAGATTAATGCCCATTGGTGTGTAAAGAGATGTTCACACATGGGTGAAATGTTCGAGTGTCCACATACTTTTGGCCATATTGTGTGTCCGTCCATGTAAATGGATAGCAGCATTTTGAGCAGACATACTCATGGTATAGTAATGATGAGTTAACACTTAAGACACATTGTGTTTACTTAAAACGGTGTATGTGTGCAGGAAACAGCAGAATTGGACATGTTCTGCTTGGACCTGGGAACCTGGACCTGGACTCAATTGTAAAACATCCTTCTCTTTCACACATTACAGTAGTTCAAGTAGCTTTTCCTTTCTTAATTTATTTCCAATGATTTACTGACTTGTGTGTTACTTTCCACCAGTGACGTCTCCCAGTCCTGTACGCCTCTGGGGCGCTCTATGTTCACCATGACGCCCGTATCAGATCACACACTCTTCATATACGGAGGTCTCGGCACAGACGGAAACACTCTCAGTAAGTCTCGCACAGAAAGTGTCAGCCTCTAATGCCTCTACCTTTTTTTTAGTTAAAGTCTTCACTTTGTATGTGTTCTGCTGCATGAGTAAGACACTGCTTCCTGGGCTGAGTATGGGACAGATGCCCCCTTGGCACAGATGGGGGAATGACTACAAACGAGAGAAAATAAAGCAATGTAATTTTGTGTATCTTTGTGGTGGTTTTCTGTCTCGTAGTCATTTTGTGTCTCCTTTTTGTTTGGGTTAGGGTTAAGCTTTTTGTGACTTTGTGTCTCTGGGCTTGTTTTGTGTCTCTCTGTAGTTGTTTGAATCAGAATCTGTTTACTGCCAAGTAGATTTTCACAAGGAGTTTACTATGATGTATTAGTGCATCACAACAATAATGTAATATAATATAATATTTATTTTACTTTCCAACAAGACATATTAAGTCACTTTAAAAAATGCTCTTATTCCAGGAGCCTGTGCTTGGTGAATGTAATTGTTGAAACTACCAGGAAAAACATTTTATCTCCTATATTATAATTGCCTTAATTCATCATAATCTGCCTTGGACAAGTGTGTTGGACAAGGTTGAAGGACTTTTTATGCAACTCTAAAAACAAAACACATCATTGCTCAAGCGGCTGGTAGAGTGAAAGTGAAGCTCCCTGTGGTTTAATCTGTATTCTGCCATTAACCCTCTGTCTGCTAGATGATGCCTGGCAGTTTGACACTCAGAGGAAAGAGTGGACCGAGATGACGCACCCACACAAGGACAAGCCCAGGTAGTTAATCTGAAGCTCATGAAAGTGCTGTCTTTCTGCTCACATAAAAGGAGATAATGTGATCCTAAAGTTCCTTTTTTGTTTATTTGTAAATTTTTTTTATTTATTTTTTTTGATAGCAGGTTCTTATATGCATCTAACAGTAGTAGCTCATTGTAAATCAGTGTGTAAGTGCTTCTTTATTCACCCAAATGTTGGTCTCCCTCAGGGTGTGTCACACAGCGTGCCTGGGAAGTGACAACGATGTTGTTGTGTTCGGGGGAAGCAGCAACATGCGGATCCTCATGGACTCGGTATGTGCTAGAAAATCTTTTAAAATTTTGTGAAGGATTTAGCCTAGCTGTTTTTCTCCTAACTGTACTCTTAATAGTTCAATTGGTAATTTGAAGGCTTTATTTTTAGCTCCACAGCAAAGTCTTAGTGAGTAAAACATAATGAGCAGCATAAGCTTTTTGGATTAAGGATTGTGCAGACATCAGTGAAACATTGCAGCATTATGCCTTCAAACCCCTCATTCCTTCTGTAATGTTTTAACTTGTGCAATATGTTGTGTGAACCAATTATAGCTCAGTGTCATAAGTGTTGCATAGATAAATCTTAAGTAGTTTAAGGACTCAAAGTCTGACTATTTCTGTCTTTAAACACAGTCACAAGACTGGATTAGTGAAAATGTGTACGTTGTATATGTTCAAATGCTGCCACCTGAAAACACTGAAATGATCTGCTCAGGGAATCATACAGAAATAAGAGCGTACAGCCGTGGTAGCAGCACGAAAAAGCTAACATGCTGATGTTCAGCATTTCACCATGTTCACAATCTTAGCCTGGTAGCATTTCAGCGTAAACGTTTGTTAATTAGTAGTGTTGATGAATGAGGCATAAATAGTATTCCTGACTAAACTTGGGCTCAGGGTGGCGCTAGAGGAAAAATTAGAGGATCATCAAATTCATACAGATTCATCCACTGGGGACCACGAATGTCTCTATAAAGGTTTGTGCCAATCCATCTGGTAGTTGTAGAGGTAAAGTGTTGGACCTGCTGACATTATCACCCACAGAGCCCACAAAATATTTAAATAACAAATACCTTAAAAAGATGAATGAAAGTGTACATAACAAAAAAATGCTGTAATACCAGTTTTGACTTGTCTTCCGTCCTCAAGTGATTATTATCAATCCTCTTATCAGGTGGCTGTTCTGAGGGCTCCATCACAAGATCACTGCAGAGACGTGTTCATCTTCCAGACCCAGCCATACTCCCTCTTCAGGTGTGTTGAACCTATTCCTGCCCTCGCTCATTGGTTTGTGGAGTACTGCTTTTGAAGTTTGGTGTTATGAGTCAGCAGAGGTGACGTACTGCGAGGTGAGCGGTTCTCATTGGCTGCACAGTTTCGTCTCATTCGTGGCAGGAAACGACGGTGGCTCGCCTGGCCATATGCGATCTCGTAGTCTAGCTAAACGGTACACTAAAATATGTTTGTGAGAAATAGGCAATGCAGTAACAGAATCTTCGTATTTGATCTGAGTTTGTCGTGTTGAGCTGGACGGACTCGCTGAGAATGACCTTTCAATCACACCCAAAAGCATACCCTATTTGTCTATTTTACTCTTAATGGGACCATAATTTACTAAATGAACATCATGCGGTATGGAAGAAGACTCGACACTAGAGATTGAGACCATAAACTTATTAGGAAACTGTTTACTGAGCTCATAAAGTGAGAAGTCGGGTCATTTCTCCGTAAGAGTGCATACTATTGGCTTTTATTATCTATTATTTATATCAGCTCTGCATTCATATTCTGTTATGTGTGGAGTGTAACATTGCTGGGAAGCCCTGTGCGTGTACTTTCTGTTGTGTTAGTGGTTGGTCACATGCGTTACATTAGCACTGTGCGTTATGAACACTGGCAGCATGTTTGCATAGTGTTTCCATTCACACATGATTAATCAGTTTTAACACAGTCCACAGAGACCCTTTTTAAAGACTTGGAACTATTTACAGTCCCACAACAGAGGACATGGTGTTATTCTAATGAGCTTTACATTATTGGGTATAGGCATGTTTATATGAAAATGACTCAATTGAGATGAAAATGGTAGCTTTGTGTTCTTTTGAACTTCAGAACACTTTTTACACAGTTTATTTTCTTATCAATAAAGTTAAGTGGTTTTTTTTAGATCAGATGCATATCTGATGAGCTGAACCAGTCATTAGAAAGTAATTGTTCCCAGAATGGTAGAAGTGTGGACATGATCTGCCACAAGTAACAGGAAGCTAGTAAAGATTACATTCAGCTTCAGGAAAAAAGGAGTCTGCAGCACAGCTATTTTTATTTTATTTTAAATGTACTTCTATAGTTTTAGTATTTCTGATTCTGATCTCCTTCTTTGCTCTCTAGATTGTGTGAGGACTTCATAGGAAGAAACCCGGAGCTGTTTGGGAAGCAGCTGAACTGGCTCCCATCAAAGCTACGTAGCAAAATCGAGAAGCGAGTTGCCTTTTTCTCCTCTGCCACGCCTGTTCTCACAGCTTGAAGAGGTGTTTTTAGTGACAATATTCTGAGCCAGTCAGTTATTACAAAAAATGTTTTCATTCTTTGTGTCAGGAATGTCTGTATTTGTGTTTAAATGATTTAAAAAGAACATGGTGCTAAAGTTGCATTGTTTTTAACTTAAGAAACCTAATGTGTAAATTAAGTATTTTTTGCCTTATTTTAAACAATTCAGTTTAGATTATGTCAAATTTTACTCCATATAGTGATTTGATGATGTGCAATCTGTTTTTGAATAAAGGTATTGATATGTTGTATATTACTGATGTTTATTATCATTTCCTGAATTAACAATGCAGTAGAAGGCATATGCAGTCATAAGCATGAATGAAGCAAAATTATCATCTTTAGTCTTTTAAAAAAACACGCAGTTAAATATTCCACTTTTTTTAATCAAATCAGCTTACATGACTAAATACATTTTATGCTTTTCTCTTTCCTGATATAATATCAAACAAGCGTTGAATGGGTTTTATGACATGTTAACTCATTAAGTCATTAGTTCAACTGCAGAACATTTCAGTTTTTGAATGCATCTGTTTCTGTCAGGGCTACACTTAATTGCATGTACATAAAAAGGTAAATGTTACCCGAGAGAGATTAGAAATTACACGTATGAAGTATTGTAGTAAACTGTAGTAGTAGTAACGTTTATTTAATATTATTCCCTCTGCTTTCCTCTCTTACTTCCTCTTTCGTTGGCTTCTGTTACAGACAAAATATAATTTCACTTTAACCTTTAGCATCATTTTGACGACACAAAGGCTCACAAATCTTCAAGAACCCATCACCAGTATCTCTCCTTTACTCATATTTTAAAATCATATTTCTGACAATAAAGGCAATGCAAAACCAGTCAGTTTTTTTTTTTTTTTTTTTTTGTTTAAATAGCAATTTTTTCATTTGCATGAAAATAAGCCTGATGGTTGTTGGTGTGTGTCGGACAGGCGTGTGTGTTTCACACGGGTCGGACGTAGTTAGCCGGCAGCAAACCCCGCTGCCCAGTGCGCTGGTTGCATCCAAACACCCATCCGTCGTCTATCTGCTCCACGTCTAAGATCAGATCGCCCTCCTGGAGAGAAACTTCATCTGCTTCTGCTGCCGCGTAGCTGTACATGGCCTGGTAACGTTTCTGTGAATCAAACACACAGGAAATGAATAGAGGCACTCGCACACACACATGCACTGACAAATAAAGACTATACATGATCCAAACAGATTTCCATTCAGTTTCCCTAATGAGTGAGCCATAACATACTCATGCAACACATTCTGCACAAACTGGCAGAAACTCATACCTCATAACATAAATACATTCACACAACTTTGTGTCAACAGTTTGTGTTTGTCCGTTTACTGTTTCAACCTGACAATGCACAAAGACAGGTCCATAAAGAAATGGTTTTTCCAGTTTGGTGTGAAAGAACTTGACCTCAACCCCATCCAACACTGAATTAATTTAAACACAGCTGTTAAGCTGAACATTAACGGCCATTGTTTTAGAGGGAGATGCTCAAATATCACACATCAGTGTAATGTTTCAGGTGTCCACAGGTGGCGCTAGATGGGTAGCATCTGGTGGCAGCAGTCACCCCTAAAAAAATGCCTGGCCACCCGAGTTTTAATTAATTTAACACATTAATTGAGATTGTTTAAAAAAAATAAAAAATAAAAACCTCTGTTATGGCCAAGTGATTAAATATAAAGTAAATAAAAGAATGTATTGATTTCTACCATTAGATATTTCTATTCAATGCTTTACAAATGAGTCTCAATAATATAATGTAATATATCGACATATGTGACTGTGATTAAATCGACATGTATTTCTGCCACTCCATGAATATGCACATACTTCTGGTCGTACAGTGTATTGTTGTGTATTAGCCTTACCCCTCCACCAGATGGTGCTACAGCAGCAGGACGCATTTGTCCAACAGGCTGACTGAATCTCGGAGGGTTGGGTGGTTGCATTTCATCTTCTACACACACACACACACACACACACACACACACACACACACACACACACACACACACACACACAGTTAATACAAACATATACAGTTAGGTTTGGTTATTTAGAGAAGTACAGTATTTCTAAAATGTGCTTCGTTACCTTGTCTATTTTCAGGAGGAGGTGCATCACTTCGAATCCTGCTCTTCTCAAATTCTTCATGGTACTTTATCTGCACACGCACACACACACACACGCACACGTTAATCAAGCTCTGTTTGAAGCAGCTCACCATTTTAGGAGGTGCTGAGAGATGATGAGGGGGGTTACCTCTGCTGGCAACCGTTGGACAAAAAAAAAAAAAAAAAACTCCAACCGTCAAACAGCCAAAGACTTCAAACAAAGAACCACGTGTCTGTTTTAAGTTTTCAGATTTGGTTTGTTTCATTTTTGCTTTTTACATCAGTTTGATTGTAAACCTCTCAGATTTAAATTAAGTTTCTTTAAAAACTTATGACTTTATTGTTCATTCTATTTAAAAATGTACGTATTCTTTCACTCCTTGGGCTCTCTGATATTGAATGTGAAGATTTTTGCTTAGAAATGTTTCCTACACTGTTACTGTTTTAGTATTTTCATGCTCTTCACAAACATGTTTTCCTTGAACACAGGCTTTGATGGCTTTGTCTACTCATGGTTAAACTATGGAAAACTCTGACAGCAACACTATAACTTTACACAAGTGATGGTTCAGAGGTTCTCTAAATAGATTTGCGTTGTGCTCGGAAGTCTCCACTTAAGACCGACATTCATTACACTGTTCAACATTTCTCTGAAGATGCAGTGAACCCAACAGAGCACACAGAGACAGAGAGGATGATCTCTGTGAACCTCTGTAAAATTAATCAAACGCAGGTCGAGCATTCAGCATCTGGAAGAAGAAACTGGATGTTGAATAAGGAGAAGAAGGAGCGGCCCCCTGTGTCCTCAACAGACCTCAGGAGGAACAAACAGGAAGAGAAGATATGATGGGAAATAGACTGGAGGAGTGTGAGGGACTTAAAAAAGACAAAACGAAAAAAATAAAAGAAGGAAGAAAGAAAGAATGAAAAAAAGAGAGAAAGAGAAAAACCAGTGGAAAAAGTGGTTACTAGATTTTGCTCTTTTGACATGCAGCTTATCACCCGTCATTCCTTCATGCAACCGCTGCTGAGAAAAAAAGAGAAAGTTAGTGTGTGTGTTTTTCTGTGTGGTATGTGTGTCTACCAGTGTGTGTGTGTGTGTGTGTGTGTGTGTGTGTGTGTGTGCAGAGAGCACTTTGTTTCCACAGCTGAGAGACTTTGACCATGTAGGGCAGCTGCTCCTCAGTGGACGGGGAGAAATGTCTGAAATGTGCCTGTGTGTCTCTGCAGGGCTGCACTCTGACATCCTTCACTGCTGAACTGAACCAGTCCACAAATCTACCATCCTGCTCTCAAATGGCTCCCGCAATTGGACCATGATGTCTCCCTGCTGTGTCTCAGGCAAACGGCTCAACTTGCTTGCGTGCATCTGGCCGTGTTACGCTTGTTTTTTTGTCCTTTGTGGGGGAAAGAAACACTCCGTAATTTGTGGAACGGTTAAACTGGTATTGCTGTGAGATCTACCAGATGTTTCACTGTAGAGTTAGACTAAGGATTAAAGTTAAAGACATTTTTTATACTAAAATAAAGTTAATAAATCAGTTTATGTTGAGTTCTGTGTATTAATTAACCTGGTTTTAGGCATCTGAATCGCAGTCTACGATTTTCATCTACATGTACAGCTGATTAAAGCAGTGGTTCCCAGCCTTTTCTATCATTGAGTAAACTGACTAAGTCACATATTTTCTGGATATATGTATTACGGTACAGAGCAACTAATACGCTGTACAATAAACACAATACCTGCAGGAAGTTTGTGGAAAACAAGCATTATGGATGAATTTTAAGCAGATTATTTCCTGTGAATATTGCATCAGAGATGAGTTTCACTGATATTTTTTAGAACTTCTTATTCAATTATCTGAATGTATGATGTATTTTTATATTTTTTAACACTCTTACATACTTAATAGGCTTATTTTTTGACAAATTCAGTGTTTTCTTCTCATTGTTTTATTAGCTCTTTGGTTTTAAATACAGTAGTACTTTTCTAATGCGAGACAAGACTTTTAATTAAAGAGTAAAGTCTCTGTGAATATAGTTTGTGTTCAGGTCTTCAAAGTTTAAATCTTAAATAATAATTTAATATGCTTTTTTCACAGAAATGAGACTAAACACTGAAATATAGGCGCTATATAAAAGGCCCTATTTCCAGCCAGAATTTGGTTTGTCTGTTCTGGGCTACTGTAGAAACTTGGCGGTTCAACATGGCGGACTCCCTGGAATGACTAGATATCACTAGAAGAGAGACGATATGTTGTTTTGTAATTTGTTTGAACCAACCCTTTAAGATGCAGCACTTACATTACTGATCTGGTCTTGTGTCTTCTTCACTCTCTGCATCTCTGGAGTGTCGACCACCACGCTGAAACCTTTCCCCTTGTTCTTTTCAAAGTCCTCCTTGTAAAGAGCCTGAAATGTGAAATACAGTTAATTCCATCGTCAAAAAAACATCAAACTTACTTTAGAGGAATAGTTCGATATTTTGGGAAACACGCTTATTCGCCTCAACTCAGCAAGAAAGCAAACAAGCGTATTTCCCATAATATCGAATGATTCCTTTGCTAAGAAATATGTTCAGTGACACAATTGGGGTGAAACTGTTTAGATTTGTTATATTTTGTTATGTTCATGCACAGTTTTATGGAGGAATAAGCTGCATTCATGGTGTATTTGTATCGGTTGAATGACATCTTGCTGTTACAAAAATGCTATTTACATGGTACATAGTAGGCATGAAGAGGTCCAACTCTGCGGTATCTCACAAAAACAAACCAAACAAAAACAGATTAAATCCGAAAAAGAAACATCATTTAGAGCAAAAACTGAAAGCTGTCAGTCAGCAACGATAAATCCAACATAACCTGAATGCAGCATTGCAGATTAAAACCAAGTAGGACTGATTTTCTAAGTATGTTTACATGTTAAGGGACAGATTTGTATAAAAGTGCATGCAGACATGCAGACACATAATAACATACACACATACACAGTTAGAGGTTGGAAACACGTCACATCGAAACTCTAAAAACGAAGGAAAAGGTCAATCAACGACTACAGACGTAACGAGAGAAGGACTGAAGTTAAGATTTAGTGTTAACAGATTATTCCATGTTCGGCGTTTTTTGAGGCGAACCGGACGTACGTGACTGATCTGGTCTTGTGTCTTCTTCACTCTCTGCATCTCGGGAGTGTCGGCCACCACGCTGAAACCTTTCCCCTTGTTCTTTTCAAAGTCCTCCTTATAGAGCGCCTGTAAGTTTGTAATTCACCAGAATTTAAGAAACTCTCTTTGAAATTAGACAGAAGGGTTTAGAAAGATCCCCCGAGGTTAACTTCTCAGCCCAAAGAGGGGTTGTATTCTTCAAAATGACAACAAAAAATAAAAAATAAAAAAATAAAATAAGATTTTATGAGGTTGCACGATGACTTTTACTAAATGTGATTCACAAATATACATAAACACACACATGCTGCGCTTTAAACGGCTATTTGCCAAATTTCCTTGTAAGTTTAGGCTAAGGGGAAACACTTGGAGCATTAAACAAAGCCCAAAATGTTTACTTGAAAGTAAATCTGAGATCCCCACACATTGCACACACAAACACTCACACACACACACACACACACACACACACACACACACACACACACACACACACACACACACAAGTGAGTCATGTTCTTGCTATGAGGAATATGTAGTCTCAGTAAGAGAGCTTGACTGCCGAGACTTTTATGGTTATAAACAATGAACTGAGTTGGTTGCAGGAGACGAGAGGAAAGGACGGAGAGGAGGAAACAGCTTAAGTTGTAAATTCGATCATGTTGTTATCACAACAGTCATGTAGCACAATAACACAGTTATGTTACATGATAGTTTAAAAAGGGTTTTAACCAAAAAATGGAACCACTCTCTTATAGTCTGTGTGGTTACATCAGGTGCATGTTTCAGATATCTAGTCTAGTTTAAGAGTATTAAGTATGTAGTAAGTCACATTAGCAAAGAGTTTGATGTCGCTATAGTTTCCTATAGCGCTATAGCTGAAGCGCTCTGTGGTTGCTGGATGGGTAGATGTGTCACGTCTGTGTTTCCCTTCAAACGATTTTGCTAATATTGAGCATGTGTGGTTTGTTGCCTTGTTGCATGTTGACACAAATTCACGGTGAACAATTCACAAGAAGCTGCGCGTTAATTGATCTGTCTAACCAAATTATAACCGAATAACCCCAACCCCCGCTCTTTCGATGGTTCGTCCACACAGGATGCATGAGCAGTGCGTGATGGCTGCCTCGCTGAAGCGCTGCAGGTCCCACGCCTGAGGTGACCACACAGAGAGCGCTTCTGCCAGCCCTCTCTTTCCATACTGAGTTTGCGTTTGATAAATACAGTACAATAAAAGCCCTGTTAACATATGAAAGGATTCTGTCCACAGAAATGCGAGAGAGCTTTTAATCTCAAACAGATGTTGAGTTTGAAAAATACAGTTATATTTTTTCCATGTTACTTCAGAATTACTTTAGACAATTGTTGCCTCTTATTAGCTTGCAGGAGTGATGTAGTTGATGTAGTCATCCTCAAAATTTGTTACGGTTACAAAATAGGATGTAGTCTCTACTATTTTGTTCCTGGATAACTATTGTATTTTTTCCCAAATGATGTACAGATGTTTTATGTTTTCTATTAAGTCAGCTGGCTTATAGTTTGTATAGCCATGCCCCCAGACCCCCTAGGTTTGGGCACATCGTCTGGCTGCGCCCCTGTTTCTCGCTCGGCTCCAGTGGTCTCTAGCCGTGTTTGTTTCAGGTATTGAGCTATTTGTCTTCATGCATAAAGCTAGGCTAGTAAATTAGCAAATGAGTGGAAACAAGGGGAAACAGCAAGCCTAGCTATGTCTAAATTTACTTCTACTGCGGTCAACAGAGTGCTGTACTGTACTTCACCAAACATACAGCATTAAAAGCATGATGATGATGAGTTTTAGGAAGTGTTTCTATTCCAGACCAAAAAAAATGTTGAGTGACGAGACAATCCCTGAAGCAAAATTAAAACTGTAAAGGGATCTCTTTAATTTTGCGTGACTTGGACGACTTATCCCTTTGATCAGGTTAAATTACTGGCTTGAAGAGTGTGATTAGATTAGAGAGATTAAGAACAGTGAAGGCAGTGAGGGAGGCTGAGTTGAGCCGGTGCCACATGAGAGACCGAAAGGCAGAGAGATTTTTAAAACTACTGTCCAATTTATGATCTTATGGACACTCAGGGGGGGTTAAACATTAACATTTACTTTCTAAAGCTCAGATATGGTTGGAGTTCAGTCTCAAATCTTTGCATCAAAGTCAAGCTAGCGTGCACTTATTTTAGGTCAAAGGGTTCATTTGATTCAATCAAAGAAATCCAATTGTCCCGAGAGGAGCGTCCTCTTCTTCTGGTGTGAGACAGACAGAGAGCTGAGTGAAGGAGACAGATAGAGAGTGAAAGACACGCTGAGTCTTGATGACGCAACGAGATTAGGGCGAGTATCTCTGCCGGTGATAGACAACAGAGACCGAGCAGGAGTGATAGCAGAGACAGAGGCGAGGGACCCGTGGGTGTCTTACCTGACTGTTGAGCATGCTCTGTTGTTTGAGACGCAGATTCTCGGGGGTGTCGGTCACTATGGTGAAGGAGGTTTTGGGGTAATGCCTGAAAGAAAAGAGGAGAATAACAAAAATCACTTTAACTTTAACCCTGGTTTATATTTCTGAGATGCCATGTCTGATCTTATAGGTGAAAATATACTCATTATTATGACTTTACCAATAAATGTTTTCTGTTTCATGTTGGAAGGAAACATCTCCTTGATCAAGTATCACTATTCTTACCACTAGAGGCATTATCAGAAATCAGAAATACTTTATTGATCCCGGGGGGGAACTTGGTTGCCTTACAGTTGTTCAAGTTGCTGAACAAAAACATCATAAGAAAAATAAATGATAATAAGAATGTTAAAATATGAGCATTAAATTACAATATATATAGTAATATATCTTATATACTTTATATAGTAAAGTATATAACACAAGTGTAAAGAATAATCGCTCATGACTGAATACTGATAATGCTTTATTTTATTTAAATATCATTAAATAAGGATTCTTATCCCTCTTAAAAGTAAAATTGTGGCTGTATTTTTTGAAGATTTTGGTTGTGAGAACACATAAAGGTGATGTTGAACTACGTGAACGGATTTTATTCCAGGGTAAATTTACTTTTTGGACTTTTTTTTTTTACAATATTCAAGTTGGCCGCTGTACTAATAACATTTTGAATGCTAAACACAATCAAAACATTGATAACATTTTGTTGATCTAATCATATTTTCTCAGAAAGATAAAGCATGTAAAATCAACAAATGAAGGCAAAACATTTTAACCACATGAATCACAATATTTTCATTTAATTTTATTTACAAATCCCATTAAATGTTAAATAAATTATGGTTTTCTTCAGATTGATTTGTTTGTGTGTCCATTATTACCATATGGAGAATGAAATATGACTAAACCATGAATAAATGAGCGTAAAGACAAATTAATGTTAAAGAGGCAGCCCTTTTGTGCAGTAGTAAAGTCCTAAATGTGTAAATGTTTGTCAGGACTGAGGTATTTTCTCTCATCTCAGGTTTCACTGAGGAATTGTTGGGATCACATGAGTCAGTTCACGCTTCCCTTTTCCATCACCTTTACACACTGCAGCTTCCACTGCCCATCTGCGTGTCTCAGCCACTGCGGAAATAAATGTCTGCTAGTGTCGTGACAGGATTTGTTTGTGATGAAACGACCACAAAACTTTTACTGCTTACGTGCAGTTATACTTTCACTAAAAAGGACAAATAAAAGATGTAATGGAAATACTACATATTGTAACTTTGGGTCACAGTTTTATAATGAAATGTTTGACCAAACATTTTTTCCTTTGCAAAACATTGAACCATACGTCACCAAACTCATGTCCTTGTCTAGTCTGAACATTTTACCCATCAGGATGATCAGTGTGCGGTAAACACTCACATACTGCAGTAAGGTTTCTTCTCAAAGCCTTTGTAGGTCGTCATGCTCAGGGCCATCTTACATACCTCGCAGCTGAAACAGCCTTTGTGCCAATACTACAAAGGGGAAGAGAGCAAAAAGTCAAACATTAAGGTCAGCACTTGAACTAAATGAAGTTCTATCCATTGAAATGAACATGGCTTCGTGGTCTGTGCTAATTTGTGAAACTACTTCTGAATTCTTAGTTGGTGTCAGCTAAAAAAACCCCATAAAGACTTCAGTTTAACTTGCAGTGACAGAGTGGGAAAATTCCTTTAGTGAGAACACAGCTGCTTCTCTGTTTCCCGTCTCTGCCAATAAGAGATATATTCCCACATTAATATGTTGTATGGACTGATTTATAGTTTGCAGTACTCCAACTCCCCGAATAGCCTGTTTACATCATTTATTTAATGTTCCCAAAAGGTATGATCACCTGAAGGAAACATCTTAGTGCCACAAAATAAAAGAGTTTACCCTCTCTGTTACCTTGTGCACCTGAGTGTGCATAGTTTACTCCTTACATGTTATCACTGATATAGTCACATCATCAGAGTAACAAGCTGTTACAGAGAATAAGGGACACACTACCACACAGTGTCTATGTGCTCTGACCTGTTTAACATTTAGAGGTTTGTGGTCAGTGTTTAACTACCGGATGTGGTTCTTCTCCTCCTCACTTTCAAATATGGGTTTTTTCTCTCTACATATATGTGTGTATGTAATGTACACTGCTGTACATGTATACTAAATGCAGTGTGTTAATTCATTGCTCATTACTACTTTCTAAACTAATATTATTACTTGACTTATTACTCCCTGCTAACAGTAGTTACACTACTAGTTATATTACTTTTCCCACAAAGTTTATAATTGTGTCCTTTCTTCCTCCATGATTAAAAAATTAATCCAGGGATGTGATTTGATTGTTGGATTTCAAATAGGGGGGTGACAACAAAACTACGGTTGTAACTAATTATTTTTTGTATTATTATATGTATATTATATGTATGTATATTTGTATTATTATTATTGAAATGTTACTGGGGACAGTAATTGTTATTATTACTGTAATATAAACTGCCCAACACTGGTTCAATGTGTGTGCTCTGCATGTGTGTTGATTGTGATAATTCCATATAGGGGTAAAGTATCACAGAGCAAAGTGCAACATTTTAGATATTATAACAATAACAACTAGTCTTACAAAATAATTACACGAAAATAAACATCATATTGGAGGAAAAATTAAATTTTTAACCAATTAATTTATTATTTTTAGCTGAATCAATTACAGTCAAATGGTTTTACCTCCTTTAATCAACAACACAGGACACAAAAATAATCAAAATAGAATAGAAATGTGGATCATAAAAATGATTATAGTCATAGTGAATGGGGTTAAACTTGTGTCACCTTACCTTATCAAGGCAATTAATTTTTTCTGTGGGATAAACTGGTTTATTGCATCTTCCACAGGGCGGATTCATGATGGCGCAGTGATTCCTCACACCACAGACAAACCCTCACTGATCCAGTTAAAGAGTCCAGAGGTGAAGTACAGGCAGTGATGAGCAGCTGGGAAACGAGCCGTCCTCCTCTTCGCCTGCAGGCATTTCAATTAATATACGGACACGACCTTAAGGCGAGGAGGAGTCAGGGCGTGAGACACGAAGCCTTTATGGTGCTTTCACTGACAGTCGGACATGGGAAGTTTCACTTGTTGTGTGTCGGTAATAATAACTTACCAGTCAAAATAGCGTGCAGATTGTCCAATTGAAAGGGCTTAGCATTAGAAGCGGTATCACAGGTAGATCTCTGTGCTATCACCTTCTTTAAATACTCAAAATGACACGGAATTTTATTTTAATAAAATCTATGTTGATATAATTTTGATATATTTAAATGTTTATAACTCAAGATAAAGCGTGTGAATTTATAACATCTACAAAAAACAACTGTTGCTCCTCACTGCACATTTACACATCCCACTTAAGAAATGTGAATAACAGCTTTCTGCGGCGTACCTGAAGGCATCAAATGCATTAAGCGGCGACGGGAATCCGTAACAACCTTAAAAGGAGCAGCAACTTACATTGAATATTAGACAAACACGATACCATATTATAATGTAATACCGTCTAAAACACAGTAAGGACTGACGTTATAGACACACACACATTAACTATAACAGTTAAGGCGGAAACAGACTGAATGAGTTAAAACATTTGATGACCACAGGAGCGATGGGTGAGTTAAAGTTCGTGTGTTTTGGCGCCCTCTGCCGGGGAAGCGCAGTAATTACAACCGCATAAGCCATCTTGTTTTTCCACTGTGAACGACAGCAAAGTGCTACATATCGTTTGAACCGTAGTTTACTGTGCTCACACGTACACATATATAATATATGTATATGTCGATGGACGTACAACTGACAACTGAGGTAACACATTCTTTGTAAATGGTTAAATACGTAGCGCTTACCCCAGTGGTTGTCATCGGGGGTATAGCTCAGTGGTAGAGCATTTGACTGCAGATCAAGAGGTCCCCGGTTCAAATCCGGGTGCCCCCTCTTTTTCGTACTGCCTCATTTTATTTACCAACATACGGTAAATGGGAAGCGAACACAGCAAACATTCACCGTTATTATTATTATTATTATTATTTGCCATTTAACGGATAACGCACAACCCGTTGGAAACCATCTTTGCGTCTCGAGACCTAAGTCAGACCTGGAAAATGTGTCCTTGTGTTTGACTCACTTTTAATTATCTCCAAGCATTCAATTATTGCTTTACCACGCCTTCAAAATATGTTATTATTAATGCTGTCACTTGGACTATTCCACCCTCCTCTTTAGAATGGTATGTTCCACCTCCACACTTTGAAATGTTGTCAGTCGACCAATTAAGGTCCTAATTCAGGTGTTATTAAAGCTGCTAACCCTTAAGTGTCCGTCCATCGAACTGTAAGTCATAATTATTAGTTTGTTTATAATTTACTAAGATAATTGGACACTTTTTGTTGGCTGCTTGCAGCATATGCCATGCTTATTAGGACCAATTAAAAGCAACTGGCAGCAGTGTTACCTTGTTCTTCCAACCTTCATTTGCCATCATTATAATCACTTGGAAAACCTGTTATATAATTAAAATAATTACAAGCAGTCATCATGCTTTGCTTGTTACATACTAGCCTCTAAGTTACCTTGTTGGTGGCTGTGGGCTATATAAAGTTAAACCATTTGGGATCAATCAGGCACTAGTGTTCAGTGTGTGTGTTGTTTTTCTTGTAGACCTATGTCTCCATCGTGTGGTATTGCTATGTATTGTCTGTTATCGATCCCTAACAGTGACTGGTTCTGTTTGTATTATGCTTTTCTGCCATTGTTTTATTGTCCTGCCATTCAGTAACCATATACAGGCACACAGGTGTTTGGGTAGCACTTTATCTGGATAGTCTGCTTACAGTTTATAGAGTGTTTGTAACATTTACTTTGTCTGTAGGTGTTTAGCAGATTATTATTATTATTATTATTATTATTATTATTATTATTATTATTATGTAACAATTCATGAACATACCAAGATGATTTTTGTGGAACCGGAGTTTGTTTGTAAGGCATTCAATGATAAAGATTTACCTAACTACCATCTCCTCCATTTTAACCAATCACTTTAGTGGTGGCCAGTATAGACATACATTATAGCAGTGGTTCCCAATCTTGTATCTTAAGGGACCCCTTTTCTATCATTGAGTAAACTGATGACCCCTGACTACACTACTACTAGATTATTTCCTGTGACTATTGATCAGTTTTACTCATATTTTTCTACAATTCTCTGTCTGTATTATGTATTTTTAATTCCAGTGTTTCTCATTGTTCTGTTAGCTCTTTGGTTGTTTTAACTTTTCTAATGTAGGACGAGGCTGTTTAGCATAGAGTTCAGGTCTATAAACTTTACATCTTAAATAATAATCTAAACTTTAAACATAACAATTTAATTCTCACAGAAATGAGACATCTACTGTGTATTTTTTGTTTCTTACACACCTTAAAATCAAGAGTGCTTCCTGACCCCCTGTGAAGCTTTGGCGACCCCTAGTGGGGGTCCTGACCCCCAGGTTGGGAACCACTGCATTATAGTATTGTCTTGCCAACAAGAAATATATATATATTCCTGTCAATCTATGTCCATTATGGCACAGTTTAAGGTCAAGGCAGTAAAAAAAAAAAAAAAAAATTTAAAAATTATTTGTTTTAGGTTGAAACAAGAAAAGCAAATAAGTGTATCACAAAAAAAAAAAATACTATTGCAATGCATACCATTCAGAGTTAGGATCATTTGTTGACATGGGTTGATTTTAATTATCATTACCTCACTTGTGCATGGACATTTAGCAGTCTAAATATTAATTAGATGCAGAAATATCTCCAGTATGTGTGAGCAAAAACTTAGTTTGTTGTTACCTTTATTTCACTTTAGATTATTAAATGAAGTATGTAAATAAGACAGTTTGTCACCTGACAGTGACCGGTATATATTTTCCACTTCAGTCAGTGCTGTACAGACGGTACCATTCGTTTTCAACTCTTCACCAAGCATGAGATTAATATCAACACTCACCACCAGCTTTTATTATAAGACATTTAAACAGAAAGGTTCAAAGAAAACTCTCATAACTTGATGCCTCTAAAATTCATCCAAACAATATTTCTCCAGAGAAGTTCAAGATGATCATTATAATCACTATCAGTTATATAGCTAAATATCTGTTATAGTGAAGTCCACAGAGATATAACATTTTATGAACCAGTCATTGGTCGTGTGGAAGTTTCATGAAACAAAAAATAACTCCATAAACTGAATGAAAACAAAAACACATAGTTAACTTGAGCTGTACATTGGTTTGCAGTATGAAGGCTAGTTAGATTCATTCCCTGACATCCCCTTGCATTGATGGGTTTTGTACAGTTACACCATTGCATCTCATCATTTCTGTACAGTCGGCTTCCTGTCGGACCCTCCAACCTTTGGATAATATGGCAAATGCCCTGTGTGATGGCAAAGAGCAAAAGACACAGAGAAAGCTGGCAAGAGCTACAAGAGCAGTTACAGTAAACACTGTCCAGCCGCCAAGGTTGGAGTACTGACATCCTGTGTCGATGGTCGGCCTGATTGTCCACATTCATCTCCTTGTAATACCTTTGCAGTCCTCAAGATGGTGTCCTTTCTTCCTCTGACTGAGTCCCGCAAGTCCAGGACCCTTAGCAGCACTGCTCAGCTTCAATGAAACCTTCCTTTTCATGACCCCCGAGCTCGACTTCAGCGTAACTGGATTGACAGCCCTGGTTGCGGAACTTCATGGAGGGCCAGTAGTTATTGGTGCGTCGCTACGAACAACAGACAGTAGTTGCTAAAGGCCAGGCAGCAGACAAACATTGAGCGTGCATGTGGGATATCTTTTAGCAGAAAAATAAACTGTTGACTCTGCAGAATGTATGAAGGTGTTTTTCTCACCTGCATGAGGTAGAATGGTGGAGCCACTGTGGGGTGTGTGTTGATGTAGTAGACAGCCAGTAAGGTCAGAGCTACAAGCAGAACTAGCGCAGCCACTACACCTGCTATAATGGCTGTGTTCTCGGTTATCCCCTTATGGTTTGGAGGACCCGTTTGTAAATCTGAAAGCAAGGAGAACAGAGATTGTTGTTATTGTGTAAGCAAATACTGCACGTGGAAGCAACCTTAGGGCAACAGATGGAGCCATATAGTCTGACTTGGTGGGATACTGTTGATACAGGAAAGACTTTCAGAGGGTCCTTGAGTAAGACAACTGGCTATAAGAGGTCTGATTGTACTTGCCAACTACCGTGAGGTTGTTATAAGTTACAGCATATTTCTAAACACTTCCATAGATTCTCAGGAAAATATCTCAGCACTTTACACACTCAAGAGAAGGACCGAACAAAAGAAGACAAACATGAGACAAAATGAAATAATTATCTGTGTGCAGTAAAATTGATAACCAACACAGTCGTGGCAAATGAACTGACAAATCAAGCCTGAAACAGCTGAGTTGTGAAAAATAATTAAGACGGTTAGATGAATATTTCTGATGTCTTACAACTTGGAGCTAATTTTCATAGCTTGAGCCATTTATTGATAATAAAAACAACATTGTACCAAAATAGTTCTGAGATCAGGGAACAACAACGTCAGACGTGACAAGAAATAAGCAGCCAGAGGACAGACAGGTTGGAAACCAACAGTGTCAAAGTTGGTAATAATTTTACTGTTCGCCTTTGTTTTTTCTTCCAAATAACTTTGGCTAATGTGGAAATTTATCTGATTGTCTCACTGCTTGTGTTTCTTTTCCGTCTGACTTCTTTTTAGCAATGTTGTTATAATATATCAAACCAGAAAATCTTCATTATCTTCATTCAGAAAGCTGAATCCAAGGAGGAGTTTTGATCAATCAACTGTCAAGCAAAACTCCAGTCTACTGATTTGGATTCAGCTTTCTCCAGACCACCTGGATTATTGAAATCAACCATCGCTGACGTACCTCTCTATCTGTTTCCCCCTAGAGTCTGCGTCAGAGAAATGTACCTCTAGTGACAGGCT